GTACAAGCTCAGGGTGGATCACAATGTCACCACACATTCTGAGCACAAGTTCAAGAAGCAATAGTTTAAAGTTCACAATTATGAGCAAAGCTAGTGGTAGTCACAACGGGCAAGTGAGGAGGAGGAAAGAGACTATGAGAGGAGAGGAGGTAGTGGGCGGCAGCTGAAGCTGCTGGCACACGGCGCAACTGGAGCAACTGGCACACGGGCAACTGGAGCAACTGGCACACTGGCAACTGGAGCAACTGGCACACGGGCTACTGGAGTAACTGGCTCCGCGGCTGAAAGTAGCGGCAGACGAGCAACGGACTCACGGGCGACTGGAGCAACGGGCTCACGGGCGACTGGCGCAACGGGCTCACGGGCGACTGGCGCAACGGTCTCACGGGCGACTGGAGCTGCTGGCTTCACGGCGGCCACCCCCTTCAACCTCCCCAAACTATCCCACTCCCCCTGACACACACCCGCTGCTACACCGCTAGCTCCACTCCCCCTTCACCCCCCCTTAGTACCACTCCAACGGCTCCAACAAGTCCACCCCCCCTCAGCGGCAGCTGCAGCACAGGGAGACGGAGGAGGAGGAGGAACAGGGAACGGCACTCAGTGGCTTCACCCCCATACCCCTCACCCCCAAACCCTAATTCAGGAGAACGGGCTGTAGGAGGGGTGGGGCGCCAGTAGAAGCACGGGGGACAGTGGGGAGGGCAGGGGCAGCGAGGAACGGGCCGCCCACGGGCCTGGCATAGCCGCCCGAACCGCGCGCAGGCGGCCCGAGCCGCGCGCGGGCCTGGCGCTTCCCGTACGGGCCGCACGCCGGCTGTACGGGCCGCGCGCAGGCCACGACGGGCGACGGGGGGCGACGCGCGGGTCCCCGTCGCCCGTCGCAGCGCCTCCCGGGGGCGACGCGTCGAGTGACGGGGCAGAAGCCCGCCGCGCGCCTCGGGGCGCACAGCGGGCAGAGAACCGCCGCGCGCCTCGGGGCGCACGGCGGGCAGAGAACCGCCGCGCGCCTCGGGGCGCACGGCGGGAAGAAAAAACTGCCGCACGCCACGGGGCGTGCGGCACATAGAGTAGCAGCGGAAGTTGCAGCGGAAGCAACGAGGTGGTGAGCCCACCCACAGGATCGATCCAAAGGGATCGACCTGCTCTGATAGCATGTCAAGATAGTAAAGATAGTTAGAAGCCATAGCTAGGAGAGTCCTAGCTAGGCAAGAGAGTTTAGGCGAAAGAGGGGTTGCACTAGTAAGAATGGGGATACAAATAGCAAACCCTAGAAGGGTTGTACTCGCTATAGAGCACCCCACTACAGGCTAGAGCATAATATTCTGACAGCGCGGCCGCGACCGTACTTCGTACCACTTCTTCAGCAGGTTCTTGGTCAGGCTCCTCCTCCTTGTCCTCCTCCCTCCGTGGAGTGTCCTCCGCCTGTCCAGTCGCAGTCCCAGTTCCCGCCTGCCTCGCCTCTCCCTGGTCCCTCTCCTTACACTGGTCCCACAGGAGGTCTTACAGAGCGTCGTGAGCCTGAGTCTCGTCCTGCGTCGCCTGTTCGTACTGCTCGCACTGGTCGTCGTGTCCCACGTGAGCGTCCTCCTCCTGTCCCTGGCACTCACTACATGACTCTGCGTCCCTCCACTGCTCCTCAGCGTGTTCCGCTGCCGTCTCCTCCTGCGTCCTCTCTGCCTACTCTTCCTGATCCGGAGTCTAACTCCCGTCGTGCTGCCAGTCCCACTGTCACCCGTCTCCTTGCTACTGTTGTCACTGACCCTACCTTTGAGTCCTCTGCTGCGTCTTCTCTGGTCGCTGAGTTGATAGACTTTGCTGCCCGGTGTCGTCTAGACTACGCCACTAGCCTTGTTGCTGAGTCTGAGTCTGAGTCTGTCTGTCCTCTGTCCGTCGGGGGTGAGTGTGCTCTTGGCACGGACGTCCTTGAGGACAGACAGGAGGAGTTCCAGTGCTTTGCTGCTGCTTTACCCCACCTCGTGTCCATGCTAGTTGCCCCTGAAGGAGACCCGGATGCACCAGACATCCCGACCCCGCGCACTTACGCTGAGGCGATGGCGGGTCCCTACTCCTCTCAGTGGCAGACAGCCATGGACGCAGAGATGGCTTCCTGGAAGTCCACACGCACCTACGTCGACGAGGTTCCCCCACCTGGGGCGAACATCGTCAGTGGCATGTGGATTTTCAGGGTGAAGCGGCCACCGGGTTCTCCTCCTGTCTTCAAGGCGCGCTACGTGGCTCGAGGCTTCAGTCAGCGAGAGGGAGTTGACTTCTTTCAGACCTTCTCCCCCACCCCGAAGATGACCACTCTTCGGGTGCTGCTGCACATAGCCGCTCAGCGCGACTACGAGCTTCACTCACTTGACTTCAGCACTGCTTTCTTGCAGGGCAGCCTGCACGAGGAGATCTGGCTGCGCCGCCCTCCTGGCTTCACTGGGTCGGTTCCTCCTGGTACCCAGTGGAGGCTTCAGCGGCCGGTCTACGGTCTCCGCCAGGCACCACGTGAGTGGCACGACACACTGAGGACGACACTTGCGGCTCTTGGGTTCGCTCCCTCTACTGCTGACCCGTCACTGTTTCTACGCACCGACACCTCACTGCCGCCGTTCTACATCCTCGTGTACGTCGACGACTTGGTCTTTGCCACTGCTGACACCGCGGCACTCGCCCACGTGAAGTCGGAGCTGCAGAGGAGACACACGTGCACAGACCTGGGTGAACTGACAAGCTATCTTGGCTTGCGGATCACCCGGGACAGAGCACGGCGCACCATCACTTTGACTCAGTCACACATGGTGCAGCAGATCCTTCAGCGCTTCCGCTTCACGTACTCCTCGCCTCAGTCCACTCCTCTGCCTACCGGTCACTCGCTCTCAGCTCTGCCTTCGGATGAGTCTGTAGAGCCGAGTGGCCCGTATCCAGAGCTTGTGGGCTGCCTCACCTACCTGATGACCTGCACTCGACCTGACCTTGCATACCCTCTTAGCATCCTTGCACGCTATGTCGCTCCTGGCCGTCACAGGAAGGAGCACATGGATGCCGCTAAGAGGGTGTTGCGCTACTTGTGCAGTACGTCGGGCATGGGGCTAGTGCTTGGAGGGCGAGACCGAGTTGTACTTACTGGACACTCAGACGCTTCTTGGGCGGACGACCAGGCTACTCAGCGGTCGTCTCAGGGTTACACCTTCAGCCTTGGCTCCGGCTCAGTTTCTTGGCGTTCTACACGCTCTTCTTCTGTTCTCAGCTCCAGTTGTGAGGCTGAGATCTACGCCATAGCCATGGCTGCCTAGGAGCTACGCTGGCTGACCTATCTGCTGACCGACCTGGGAGAGCGGCCTCGTTCTCCTCTAGTGCTGTACGTCGACAACCAGGCTGCCATTGCCTTGTGTGAGGAGCACAGACTGGAGCACAGAACGAAGCACATCGCCCTGCGGTACTTCCTTGCTCGAGAGCTGCAGCAGCGTGGTCAGCTTCGTCTGCGTTACGTGGCCACTGAGGCCAACCTTGCTGATGTGTTCACCAAGGCGCTTCAGCCTTGTGACCATCAGCGTTTCTGTACTCTTCTAGGCCTTGTGCCTGTTGGACCTCACTTACTTACCTCTTGACTCTGCTTGTACTGTGATCTTTATATATATGCCTGCATGTTTACACTTGCTAGGTTGTGATCACTGTATCTCTTGTTATATTATCAACCTGCATGTGAACTGGTCTTGTGACCACTTGCTTGTGCTTGGAATTTGTGTGGTATCCTTGAGATCCACCCTGAGCCTGTTTTGCTTTGCTTTGACTGGTCTTGTGACCCCTTGCTCTCCTCCACTTTGCCTATAGGGGTGTGTCAAACATTATATATGTTGTGTCTGTTTAGGCTACAGTGGGTTAGCCTATAGGGGGTACACAATTCTAGGGTTAGGTACTTGTACTGATTTCACTGTTAGTTCAATCATTCCTGTCTGTTGATTCCGACATTTCGGAAAGTGTGTCAGAATTTCGGAACTTTGTGTCAGAATTTCGGAGAGTGTGTCAGAATTTTCTGCTTCAGGATTTGTCAATTTATTCTGACGCGAGCGGGAAAAACCAGAATCAGGCTCAATTTCGGTGGGAATTTCATGTAGTTACCATTCGCGTGATGGGCTGCTAGTGTAGAGTTACCAAATGTGTTAAACGAGTTACCAAACGTGTTAAGCAGGTTACCAAACGCGTTAAGCGAGTTACCAAACGCGTTGAAATCGTTACCGTACGCGTTTTAGTGCCCCATGTAAGTTACCATTGACATATTTTCCCAATTTTGTTTACATGGCATATCGTGATTGGGAGCAGTGTCTGAATATATGTGTTAGCAAGGTCAGAGACATCTGCGATATCCTTTGCAAACCTACCAGGACAATCTGATGTCGCCATTAGGTCAAGGTTCATCACACCAGTGATAAAACCAACTCTCTAGATTACAGTAAAACGGTAGCAGAATTGAGGGATTGTGTGTCTCTGAGGGCGTATTCCTACGGCCTCCTATCAAGAAACCTCCTATCAAGAATGCACATTTTGCCTGGTGAAAGTAGCGAGAGATTTTGGGTTTAGGGAATTTTTCAGTGTGAGCTTGATAAGAGGTTTTCTTGATAGGAGGATAGGAATACGCCCTGAGAGTCATCAACAAATCTAAACCATCTATGGTTGGTCACTGGTGCTAGGAGTAGAGGTATCCATAATCTAGATTCATAGCTAGACAGGAGGGTCCACCGTCAAAGGGTGGGTAAGAATCGGACAAACTGCCAACCATGAGCAACAACTAGCACACCAATGGAAATGCCCATTACGTGAGCTGGAAAGCTGACTACTGGTGAGGGGGAACTGGGAATTAAAATATCATGGGAGGAGAGAATCGTGCCAGCGTCCAGAAACTCGCACCAGCCGCTCACCTCAGAACACCTGCAGACATCCAATCATGCGCATTCCATTGCATGTGCCACAGCACCCACACATGTCTGTGCTAAGTCCTGTGTGTCTCACGGGGCCCCAGCAGACGTGACAGAGGTGGGCAGGCCCTTGGCCTGCATGGTCTTGAGAGTGTTTGAAAGCCAGTCCAGCCCCTCATAGAGACCCTCGCCCTTGGGAGCGCATGTGCCCTGAATGTGCCAGTAACGGTTCCGCAGCTGCTGCAGCCCCATCGTCTCACACACCTCCAATGGCGACAGCGCGCCTTTCTGCCAAGGAGAGAGCAGGTGGGAGTGGTAGGAGGAGAGGAGGAGGATCAAAAGGGATAGAAGGCAAGGGGATAGCAGAACGGAAGGAAGCAGGTTGAGAGTGCAAGCGGAGTGAAGCTGTAGAAGAGTGGGCTTGTGGCTGTGTGGAGGAACAAGCTGCAAGTAGCACAGGAAAGGAGACGGAAACGGGGAGCAGCGCAGGGAGGCTTCGGCATCAAGTGCAGCAGAGTGCACTGACCAGGTCTTGCTTGTTGGCGAAGACAAGGATGGCGCTGTTGCGCATGAGGGGATCGCTCACTATCGTCTGATGGGGGACAGGCCAGACAGGAACGCAGGGAGGACAGAGGGGGGAAAGAATGAGAGAATACCAGGGAGAGGGGGGAAGAGAGTGAGAGAGGGGAAAGGAAGGGGAAAAGAGGGGCTACAGCATCGTACTGCGCCCCGTGGAGGCCACTGAGCTTTAGATCATCACCTTGCGGTCAGGGCAGGCTGTGGCTCTCAGTGCAGAGACGAGCACAGTGCAACACGCAGACTAAACTGAGGTGGTCGACACCGGAAAGACTGTTAGTGCCTGCTATTTGAGGACTCTGGTTTACCTTGGGGACTCCAGGCGGTAGGTAGATAGACTTCCACCTTACCTCACATGCGTACACGTCACTCGTTGGTACCATAGAACATTTGCAAAAGACAAGGGAACCGCGACATTATGGGTGGTTAAAGACAGGGGAAAGTGTTGGGGACCCTGGAAAGTGAGGGAGACGCTGCCATAGAAAGAAACTGAGTGGAAATGGATACAAGCAGCAACGTTGTGTGTTGAGGTAGGCACGTCACCTGGAATTCACGAGCTGCTTGCTTCACTCGCTCTTTATCAAGAGAGTCCACCACATAGATCTGAGAGCACGGGCACACAAACAGCAAGACGGTGTTGGTGTTGGTGTTGGTGTTGGTGGAGCATGACACACATTGACTCGGTGTTGGTCAACAACATGACACGGTTTGAATGAGGGACAGGCTGAAACAATTGGCACAACAATCGTGAAACACGCAATACTCCGTCCGTCCAAATCCCAAGCCATAAACGGAACCCATGTGGCTGAAAAAAAAAACAGTAAAGCAGAACCGCCGCAGGACAGCAGCTGCCCCGTGAACTGCTCTTGCATCGAGTGCACGCACACCCCCACCAGGTGAACAAGCTCCGTTCATCATCTCATGCAAGAACAAGCTCCCCCGTTGGCCACCAACTCATCTGTCCCAAGGCACTGCACGCAGACACATGAGAACAGAATGAACCACAGTTGGCAGTGCACGTACCAGGGCATCTGTGTTATTGAAGTAGTGGCGCCACAGGGGGCGCAGCTTCTCCTGGCCCCCCACGTCCCACACGGTGAACTGCACGTTCTTGTACTGCACCTTCTCCACGTTGAAGCCTGCCAACCCGCTCGCACACCAGCCCACGCAAAGACCATCAAGCACATGCGCGCACGCACAGCGCGGGACGGGGGGGGGCGGGGGAAGGTGAGCGCACACGGTGAACTGCACGTTCTTGTGCTGCACCTTCTCCACGTTGAAGCCTGCACGCCGTGCACACACACCCCGCACACCATACACGACGCACACACGGCACTCAACGCACACACCGCGCACCGTGCACCGCACACACCCCGTACACCGCACACATCACAGTACAGAACCTCGCAATTGCCCATGAGACAACATACTACGCTATTTCAATGACAAATGCAAGACGTCAGAATTTCAGACGCCAGTGGACTCAGGACTAGACAGTAATTCTGTTTCTTTTCCCTTTCTTGTTGCTGCTTTTCCCCCCCTTATGCTGGAGCAGGGGTGAATGGTGGTACTCACCGATAGTGGGGACAGTTGAGAGAATCTCGCCGATATGGAGCTTGTAGAGGATTGTCGTCTTGCCTGCTGCGTCCAACCCTAGCATGACAACCTGTGATCACGAGGAAGCGGAGAAATGGTTAGTGGGGGTGGGGGAGCAAGGGAGGGACTGAAGGTGCAGGAATGGGGTGACTGGTCAGCAGTGACTGGTTGCAGTGAGCGAGCATGTTTCTCAATTGAGGAGTGAGAGCACAGAGAACTAGAGAAGCATTAGGTCGAAAACACGGCGGATTAGTCGAAAACGAGCGGGTGGAAAGAAAGATGAAACGCGTACGCGCATTTCTCTGTTGCCGAAGATGGAATCAAACAGCTTCCTGAACGCTTGCCCCATGGTCGGCCTCTCCACACGAAACTCCCGTACCCTGCGACGCGGAGCCTCGATACAACACAGAGCCTGAGAACCTGAGCTTGGCCGAAGTCATGGGGGAAAATACTGGCAAGATAAAGGCTTCGAAATGCGAGAAACGGCGAATTGTCAAGGCGTCGTGCGAAAAAGGATCTTACTATGGCAGATCTGGTTCTGTAAGGTGGGAAGAGGCTCAACACGGCCAGAGAGTATGGGTAAAGAGTTTGAGGCGAAAAAAGAGGTCGACCAAGGTCCCGTTAAGAAAAAGTGTACTAGGTCGAGAGTTTTACGCACAGCTGATCGCGCCTAAAAGGCAAGTCTGGCTTGAGAACGAACCTACACTAAGAACGGCTCTCTCAAGGACGAGGTGGTGCCAACACTAAGTCCCTACACTACCACTACGTTTAGGACCACATCAAGGCCATCAATCTCACAGCATCGTACGTGCTATGAACCCATAGTGGACGGGACAGACCACCATTCGGATCGCACAGCGAGGCCACTAGCTAGATCCTGAGACGTTCAGCACCACCACGAGGAGGCAGCAACAAGGGGATTTCAAAGCTACTCGAGAAATGACGACAGCCAAAAGGTACGAGTTTCACGAATGAATTCCGATCAAGCTCCCAGGGATTACATTCCTCCGTCTCCTCCCGTTTCTCTTTGCTCTTGTTTCATTTTCGTCATTATTTCCGCAAGGGCTCGAAACAATTGGATTCCTGCGGGCTTTTCCAAACGAGATGTTGCAGAGACACATGGGTAACAAGTGGTACAAGTGTAATGAACGTTGATATTCAGCGGTGCATTCTGGTTTCCAACTTTGAACTCCTCTTGATCTGAGGTGGTCCGGGCAACTGTTGTACTTTTACGAAGCAGACCCACAACAGATTACACTGGGCAACAGAACCGACCAATACCAGGGTCCCGTCGACGTGGCATTTCCGTTCTGACAGCTTCAATACAAACCGCCAGCCAAAAGTTCATGGCACGGGCAAACCAACGGTTCATTGGAATTTGGAACACTCATATTCGTTTTGAAGCTCTGTCCCGCTTAACACAAAGGGCCAACTGGTACGGTTACATTCCTTCAAGCATTGGTACCGCATACGTGTTACAATGCCCTGTTCTTCAAGCTATTCCATGTTTACTACAAATGCGCACGTGACAGTGGGCATCCGACTGCAACCATATACGGTATCCTGCACTTAGTGCTGTTTACACTTATACTGTAGTGTAGTTGGAACATTAAAGCTATACCATTGCGGTGATATAAAATGGCTTACAAACAATCCTAGGTGACTGGCATCAATAAAACGTGCCAGTTTAATAGCCATTATGGCATAAATACGTCATAGCCTACTGACGCTGAACACAAAAAAGCATAGCGCACCCTCACAGTAGCAGCAGCAGCAGCAGCAGCAGCATCGCTACTGTGTGAGAGCGGAGGCAGCATTGCTGCCAGAGTGCGAGCCACTGCCCATGAGCAGCACGCTATCGAGCTCATCCATAAAGTCCAGCGACACGCCGTCCACCTCCCACGCATCCATCAGCTCCAACTCCCCGCCCAGCAGATCCTCCTCCCCAAACGCATCCACATCCTCCAACCCTCCCATGCACTCTAACCCATCCATGCCCTCCAAGCACCCCTCCGGCAGGTGTGGTAGCACGTCATCCTGTTCCTTGTCCCCCTCTGCCACCCTCTGCTTGCCTCCGGTCTGGCAGTGAATTGCCTCTTCACTGCTGCCATCAGACCACCCACTCACCCTCACAGAGGCAGTTAACACCAGCGCACCTTCCTCTCCCCTCCCCTCCAGCTGCGCCTCTTCCTCTCCACCCTCCTCCCCTTCCTCCCCTTCCTGCAGCGGCCCTCCAAAGCACGCAGGCAAGTCAAACGCGCCCTGCATGAGCAGCGCCTCATCCTCACCGTCGAAGAGCGCGCACGAGATCTCGTCCAGATCCTGCACGCTGGCGCTGTGCGTCAGACTGCCCTCCAGCAGCAGAGACAGCCCCGCATCGTTCCCGCCCATGCAATCAGCCAGGTCCAAACTCCACGCCACCTCCATATCCAGCAGCGCTGCGGCCTCCTCGCTACTCAACGCGTCCTCGTTACTCACTGCTTCCGCTGTCGTGTTGTCCAAAGCTCGGTTACCACCGAAACTGGCAGTTTTCGCAGGAGAAGCAGGGAGGACAACAAGCGCGGAAGCAGCAGCAGCGGTAGGCTGTGCAAAGAGCTTGACTGGTCGTGTGATGGTGGTGGACGGTGGTGATGCTGATGCCGCACGCGCCTTGCACAAACCAGTTGCACCAGCCCTGGCAGGCGCAACCGCAGCAGCGGCGGTGGCAGCAGGGGCAGCGGGAGAAGCAGCAGCACTGCCGGAGCCACTTGTCTTGCCAGATTTACCACTCTTCCTCCCTGTGTATGGCCTGGTGCGGGCGCACCCGCTGGACTCACCACCGCGCGCAGCAGCAGCAGCAGCAGCAGCAGCAGCAGCAGCAGCAGCAGCAGCAGCAGCAGCAGCAGCAGCTGCGGTCGTCGCCTCCTCCGCCAGCGCCTGCGGCGGAACGGGAGGCGCGGGGGCGGCCACATCAAAGTCCGCGGCCGCCACGCACGACACGCAGCTCGCGATACGGGGAAGGAGCGCGCCGTGCAAGGCGCCTGCCTCCTTGGGAAACCCGGATCCATGGCGCGAACCCTTCCCTGAGGCGACGACTCCTCCAGCGGGCTTCATCACCTGCCCGTCGCCCAGTGTAGTCATGGCTGCCGCAGCTGCGGCGGGGGGAAGTGAGTTGCCTGACGAGCCCTGACGGCTGTGCATGTGCACTGTTGACGCCGGCGGTGCCATGAGGTTGCCGTTTCCAAGTCGGCCGGTGGCGGTCCTGGAGGGAGCGAGGGTTGCGTCGCGCGCAGCAGCGGTAGCCAGAGGCGCAGGCGCAACGGCAGCAGCGATGAGAGGAGCAGCAAGAGCGTCAGAAGGGGCGACGGTAGGAGCGGACGCGCAATCCGCCAAGGGGAAGTTGGTTTTGGCAGCGGAGCCGCGGATCGCCCTCGCCGCAGCATCGTATGCCTTAGCAGCCGTCTCGGCCGAGTCGTACGTTCCCAGCCACACGCGCACGCCGCGCGTCGGGTCGCGAATCTCCGCCGCCCACTTGCCCCACGGCCGCTGCCGCACGCCTCGGAACACGCAGCTGCTCGCGTGCTTCGCGGACGGGGGGGAACCGGACGAGACCGCAGCCGCGGGGGAAGTGGGGATGGAGGCCCGCGCGGATCGCGGGGAATGCGCGTCGGGATGCTCGCCGTCGCTGCTGCTGCTGCCGGCGCCGCCGCTGGCGGTGATGGTGCTGCACGTGCTGTGACTCGCGTCCGCTCCTACGCCGTCCTTCTGCCTCTTCGCTCCGTTGGCTCCGCTCCCTCCGCTTACTCCACTCGCCGCCTTCCCGCCGTTCACCAGCTTGCGCTTCATCCCCGCTTGCTGCGCCTGCGCGTGTGCGCCGTCGGGGAACCCCGGGAAATGCGGTGGGAAGGGCGCGGCGGCGGCAATGCCGGCGGGGAGGTGAATCGGGGGGCGCAGAAGCTTCTCCGACGGATGCGCTGCTTGCGCCAGCTCGCTGTGCTCGCCGCCATTCGCGTGACATCCTGTTGCGCCTGATGCGGCAACCACTGGTCGCATCGCGGCGGAAGCGACGCTCCCCTGATCCTCCCCCATGACGCGGAATGCGGGGGAATGCGACACGGCTTGCGCCGCGCCGTACGATCCGGTTTGCCTGACGTCAGGAGCTTGACTCGTCGACCCGTTGGCGACGCGGGAACCGTCGTGGATGGGAATTGAGCTGTGTAGCGCAGACGGCGCGCCAGGGGCGCCAATGTAACCGCTCTGCTGCTGCCGCATGTCACGGTGGAATTGATTGAGGCGTTGCTGATGGTGATCGGCCGGCTCCTGGGCATGCCCGTGCATCGCCGCGGGAATGGGGGAGCTCCCATACGAGTACCCGTATGCGCCGTTGTAAAACGCGCCGAAAACGGCGGGGTTCGCGGTTCCTCCGCCGTACGGCGACTCCGCAATTGCCGCGGAGCAGCCTGCGACGGAGCACGACATCCTGCTCGTCGCAATCATCGCCGGCGATCCGGCGCTCGTCGCGCCCGAAGCGCCGCCAACCAAGCCATCGTGATAACTCCTCTGCGCGGTGTAGCCGTAAGGGGAGGGGCTGCACGGGAAATGCTGCCCCCCGAAATAATAGTTTAATGTCGCGGCAGACGAGTAGGCCGCCGCATTGCCAGTTCCGCCAAGCGGATCGGACGGGAATCGCACTGTGGCCGCGGATCGCGGCAAAGCAGCGAAGTTCGACGAGCGGACGGACGCCGCCGCGGTGGAGGCTGCGAGGCCGCGTCTCCGTGAATTGCGGTTGTTGCCGGAGAAGAATCCGTGCGATGGCAAGCCGAACGAGTCCTCGTCATCGTCCGACGAATCGTCTGTCGCGTCAGGGTCTGTGTTGATCACCTCCGCGCGGCCTCCCCGGATCGAGACGCGCACGCCGCCTCTTCTCGCAGACCCTGCCTTGCCGACGCGGGCATTATCGTCGGCGAGAGCGAGCGACGACGACGGCTGCCGTTGAACGGAGCAGAAGTCCGCGGAGTAACTCTTGCGATCAATCGCGTCGGCAAAATGTGGGCCGTTCCGACCGATCGCCACGTGTGAGTCGAAACGGTCGTCCATGAGCAATACGTCGGGGGTGGCGGAGGAGAGGGGGGAAGGTGCGGGGGTAGACGCGGGGAAGACGCAGGAGATCGGATGAGCGTGAAGAGACTCAAGGCGATAGTTTGATGGCGCGATCCCCGAAGGCTGAGAAGCCTTGTGTGAATTGCTTGAAGATTGGCTGCAGATGAATGCAGAAGAGTGGTAGGTATTATGTATGAGCTGACGGCCTGGCATAACTGTTGGAGCGCTTAAAGAACGGGTGCTGCTGCGATCGATCGTCACGCAAGCGAAATCTCGGGCCTTGAATATTGTAGATGCCTAATTGGACTGGACTTGCGTGGTGTGATCAGCAAGCAGGCGAAAGAATACAACCCCAACAGGAATGAAATGAGGCTGAAGAAACCAGAAATAGAGAAGTTCAGGTGGCTATGGGATGGAAGAAATCTTTCTGGAAGGGAGAGGAGTGGAGCATGAGCAGAGGAGCAACAAGAGGAGGAAACAGTATGGAGACACGGGTGATGGGGGGAAGCGGGCTGTTGGCGCGGGCGGAAGAGGGAGTGGGTCCTCAGCTTTGGCGGAGGAGATAGATATGATCGTACGATGGATGGGATGGTGAGGGAGGCGGCGCACAATTCTGGATGAGGTGAGAAAGGGATGTGTGATCGATGGGCTCGAGGACGCAGATTTCCCACCCAGCTTTTCGTAGGGGTTGGCGGAACGATGGCGGTGGTGGTGGTGAGGTGGGTTGTGAATGGCGGTGACTGAGGCGCAGCGGAGTACTGTAAGGGTGTTGCGGTGCGGATTACAGCTGCTTCGCTTGATGCGCTTGGCGGCGGAACACACATTGCTTCTTGGGAATTGATCAGACTGGGGCCCCGGGTTAGCAGAAACAGTGCCAACTTGGGGCCTCGTGAGTCGCGACCCTACGAAATAGGCCCGAAGCAAATCACAAGACTGGGCAGCAGGTCCGAACCTGGCAAACTCGCCAGGTCACCACCTACTGCCTTGGGTTTGACGGAAATCGCTAGCACCCCACACCGCTGGAAGCACAACAATCCGTCAAACCAACACAGTCTGATCGAGATACAGCACAAGCAGCATGTAACAAACAACTCGGAATTATTACGGAAACATAAGACTGCCAGAACACAAAGAGCTGAAACATGAAAATTAATAAAATGAGTGGGCACAAAATGGGGAGGTTCATGACCTTTTTCTGTTAGAGAAATTTCAACCAACCTACCCACATTCTTTCAGAATATGTATACATACATATATGATTTACATGCAAGTGCTTCCCTTGTAAAATCTTCGATGAAAAATCTTCTACCGTATTCCCCCGGATATACCACCCTAGGGTGCTATGATAACTACACAAAAAAAAGGGGGGGTCTTGTCATCGGAAAAAGCTTCATTGCACCCGGGTCTTTACATAATGTGTATTTTTTTTATAGCGTAAAACGATTTAGTACAGATGTAAAACAAAAATACAGATGTACATTTAGTACTAATCGTTTTACGCTATAAAAAAAATACACATTATGTAAAGACCCGGGTGCAATGAAGCTTTTTCCGATGACAAGACCCCCCCTTTTTTTTGTGTAGTTATCATAGCACCCTAGGGTGGTATATCCGGGGGAATACGGTAGAAGATTTTTCATCGAAGATTTTACAAGGGAAGCACTTGCATGTAAATCATATATGTATGTATACATATTCTGAAAGAATGTGGGTAGGTTGGTTGAAATTTCTCTAACAGAAAAAGGTCATGAACCTCCCCATTTTGTGCCCACTCATTTTATTAATTTTCATGTTTCAGCTCTTTGTGTTCTGGCAGTCTTATGTTTCCGTAATAATTCCGAGTTGTTTGTTACATGCTGCTTGTGCTGTATCTCGATCAGACTGTGTTGGTTTGACGGATTGTTGTGCTTCCAGCGGTGTGGGGTGCTAGCGATTTCCGTCAAACCCAAGGCAGTAGGTGGTGACCTGGCGAGTTTGCCAGGTTCGGACCTGCTGCCCAGTCTTGTGATTTGCTTCGGGCCTATTTCGTAGGGTCGCGACTCACGAGGCCCCAAGTTGGCACTGTTTCTGCTAACCCGGGGCCCCAGTCTGATCAATTCCCTTGCTTCTTTGGGCGCCGCGAACACAATAGCTGACACGTGTAACCTCCTTGATTCTTGGCTCAAACCTGGTTCGTTCGGAATTCCGAACCTATCTTAAATGCTGGCAGAAACATAGGGGCATCGAAATAGGAATAACAGTTTCATGCCAGTGGGCATGTATAAAATGGATTTCTTGGGCTGTGGCCAAGGCAGATTGTAGGCATGAATTGATCACTTCGGCGAGAATACCTTGGGGAATGAAATATATACAGTCCGACTAGTACACAATAAAAATGAACCTATTGGACTGAACACTCACTAAACTAACCGTGTTCCAGCCCAGGCTCGGGTGTTACAGAGAGCCGAAGCACCACCCAGCCTGGCACTCCGAGCAAAACTTCTGCTTTGGGCTCAAGCCATCTACGTGGAACCTACACAGAAAGTAATTTTTGGACCTTTCAAGCCCCCAAAGGCTATTTCAAGATCTTGATGTTCCTCCTGCCCGAACCATGGCCTCCGTAAAATCTAAGGCATGGAACGGCGGCGTGGTGTGCGCGGTCATGCCTGTGGAGTCACCCGGCAAACGATTTGTTCGGCACAATCTTTGTCTGGGCAACCGTGAATTTATTCCCAAGAAACCGGGAGATTGCGATGCGATCTCCCTCGCTACAGTTACAAGGGCGACTTCGAATCGCCGCAAATTCTGTCAAAAACGACAAACTATACATCTGTTCACATCAGCGAAGACGGAAGAAAGCGACGCGATCTTGCAATTTCCGCCCCAACAATGGATGGACATGGTTGGATTGAGCATGCACTGTACCGTAGTGTACAGTTCGCTGCACCCTTGCCAAAACAAAACGACGACGAAACTGGGTTTTTTTGGTACAGAATTCAGGTGCTGCGTGTCAAACATTTTACTGTACGTGTAGAACCCTTATAGACTTTTAATGTAAGCTGTATTACTCCAGTGGATAAATACAGCACAGGCTAAATAGGGGTTTAGGTGACTTGGCAAAGATGGTTGACGGGAGAGAAATTGTACAGTAGGTGGTTTGGGATGTACAGTTTTGATGTTGTTGAGATTCTACGTGAACAGTTGCTGCAAATGCCCAGATTTGGACCAATGTGGGTCCATTGCACCACCATAAATTTCTGTCGTTGCAACAAATGTCACCGCAAATGTGACAATGTACTGTATATCAGCCCCTGCCACTGGGTGAGGCTTCACACAACATGACACCGAAAGTGCAATCATCCGGATTTGGTGGGTGTGTGTGGAAGTTGCAAAAGGAGGGTGGGGCATGTCGTTTTGTGTCAGTTGCAAAAGGAGGGTGGGGCATGTCGTTTTGTGTCGCGAAGGTTACTGGTTCACTTGTCAATTAGGCTAATCTACACTTGAATAATTTGGCTATCAAACCTCTAATGGATCATGTTCATTAACCATTGTTAGGATGGGAACAGGGCTCTAAACCATACAGAGTTGGTTTGATGGTCTAAAAATTAGACCCAGTATATTTTTCCATCTTATTTCTTAGAAGTCCATTTTTTTGTCTGAACCATAAGAAGCATACCGTAACTCTTTTTCGCTTGTTACGATCAAAGTCAGCATTATATTTTATATGAGAAGTCAGGTAGCGCGTATATCTTTATTTGGTAACGCAACCACCCTTTCCCTCATCGTGGGAGCAATAAAAATAAAGGATATTGAAATGAAGAATCTAGTGATGATTTTCCTTCTTCGTTATGTAACTGGGATGGTTGGGATCCAACCTGTAGGACGTCATCTGTAGCACCTGTAATGGTCTGTAGCACTAGCGAGTCTCTTTTTTCACCAAGCAGTTGGTTTGGGACACTGCATGCAACCCATTCAGCAAATTTCATGTCCTCCACGCCCGCCCCTACCATCATACTCCAGTTCGTTGAATCCATGGCTCTCCCTTACTACGCCTCTCCCTTAATACGTCATCCAACCTATACCGAGCGTCAGCATGCAGCGTTTTCGTCCGGCGCCTGTCTGTCGAGTCGACCCCCGTGCGACACGAATCCGTTCAGGCTAGGGTTGACCCTCCTCTACACATACCGTGCCTCCACCGCGTAAACGATCGCGCGAGGAACGTCTAGAAAGGAAGAGGCACGACGGATCTGGTATTGCGTGCAGCTATGGCCGGCCTCCTACGACAAGCGACTCGCTGCTGCTGGCACGCGTCACACGTGTTCCCAGCTGCTGGTCTTTCAGGACTTGCTTGTGTTCGAAAACTCACGTCTTCTGTGGAGGCGAGGAACGATGGTAAGAAGGCGAGAGACGAGATGGCGTCACAACGTATGCTGTGGCTTCTGTAACAGGTCCAGGTTACAGCCTGTTCCCGCATGTAAATTCACGACCTGCAACGAACGAGGCCATTGCGTTGGTGAAGCTTAATGAAGGACATCAATGGTTTCAAAACGTAGTGTACCACTTGTAATGGACAAAAGCTGCGTGCCTGCGACTGTGATTGTGTGACTGTGTGACTGTGTGATTGTGTGACTGTGTGATTGTGTGCATGTACCATACCCGTGCGGCCCGCTCAGGCGACCCTGGCTTCCTGGAATCAGTGGATACTTTCTTTGACCGTGCCGCCGCCATCTCGCACGTCTCCTCTGATATTCTCGCTCGGATCAAGGTCAGTGTCGCCGTACCGCACTGCGCCACGCCTGCACCCCACAGCACCGCTCTGTCCTGCGTGTGAGTACCATCCGTGGCACATGCATGCGTTGAGCTTACTAACCTGCGCGTGTCATCTATTTGCATCTACTCTCTGCCCTCCTCTGTTCCCCCTCCCCTGCGCGCCCTTCCCTGCGCGCACTCCCCTGCGCGCTCCCCTCTGTGCGCGCATGGGGCAGGCGTGCAGCACGGTGCTAATGGTGCAGTTCCCTCTGAAGCTCGCCAACGGATCCATTGAACTTGTGGAAGGCTACCGCGCGCAGCACTCGCACCACCGCCTCCCCTGTACGCCCCTGCCCTGCCCCTGCCCTGCCCCTGCCCTGCCCCTGCCCTGCCCCTGCCCTGCCCCTCTGCCTCTGCTCTCCCCCTTTCCCTGTAGTGCACCTTCTGTTGCCCGACTCATGAGTATTTTCTGGTCCGACAAGTAGCGAATGCCTTTTAGATCCCTACCACTTCCTTCTGCTCTCGTTGTTGCCCTTGCTCCATCCCTCCTCCTTCCATCTCCTCTCACTGTAGTGAATTTTTTGCTTGCCTCCTCTACCCACCCCTTTCCTGGCAACCTCAACCCCTTGTGTGTTTGTCTTTGTGCGCGTGTTTGCGTGCGTGTGTGTGTGTGTGTGTGTGCGCGCGCGCGCGCGTGCGTGTGTGTGTGTGAGCGTGTGGGGTCACGCACGTGTGTGCTCGTGTGGGTGTGTGCATGTGTGCGGTCATGCATGTGTGTGTGCATGGGTGGCGAGCAGCCAAGGGCGGGGTGCGCATGGCATTGACGGTGGATCTAGAGGAGACCATGGCGCTCGCAGCGCTCATGACCTTCAAGTGCGCGCTCGTGGATGTGCCGTTTGGAGGGGCCAAGGGAGGCATCAAGATCGGTGCGTGTGGGGTGTTGTGTTGTGTTGTGCCTCTGTTGTGTGGTGTGGTGTGCTCTTTGTGTGGTGCTGTTTGGTCGAATGCGGTGGTGTGCTGTGCAATGCTGTTTTGCGTGAGTGGTACCTATGCAAGGGGTGAATGGTACCAGGATGCATGTTGGGGTGGAGTGTAGTGTCCTCCCAGAAAAGACACCTCTTACTCCCCCCCCCCAACCCTCTGTCACAGTATTTTTCCTGGTTTGCTCAATCTCTTGGTCTCTGCCTTGCACTCTCCGGTAGCCCATCGCACCCGTCCCTACCTGTTGTTCTCCATCCATCCATCCGTCCCTTCCTCCTCATCACCAATTGGTGCGCCGCGCATTCCCTCTCCCTGTGTGCGTGCATGTGTGAGCGCACGGGGGCAGACCCCAGCAAGTACAGCCGGCAGGAGAAGGAGGCGATAGTGCGGCGCTACACCGTGGAGCTCTGCAAGAGGAACTGCATCGGCCCAGGCATTGTCAGCACCACCCTCCCCTCTCCCTCTCCCTCTCCTGCCATTCGGATGCCTATCCATGCCATGCCATGCTGTACACACCACACTTCTCCTGCTACGCGCGTGTTTTATTCTGTGCCCCTGCACGCTTCGCTCGCCCTCACTGCCCGTGCCACATGCGTGCCACTCGTTCTCTGCCCCCCCATGCTGAATGGCCATGTCATCCCATCAATGGCCCACTCACTCCATGTGAATCACCATTTTCTGGCGCCATATCCTGTTCTTCACTCATGCCCATATGCATGCCCACATGCATGCCCACATGCATGCCCACATGCATCCGTGCATGACAGGACGTGCCAGCACCTGACTATGGAACAGGGCCGCAGGAGATGGCGTGGATAAAGGTGTGTGCAGCACTGCACCACACACACGGCTAGAAATGCCAACGCACAAACATGCTCTCACCGCGGCACGGACTCAAGTATCACGCGCGTCAATAGACGCGCACGCAGCCACTGGGTCCTTGTCAATAGACGAGCAGACTGTGGGTAGAGAGACGCCTTTTGAGGCAAGTAAACAGCGCGCAGGGCCGCGAAAGGTACACAACCATGAGTCCTTGTCAATAGACGCGCAGACTGTTTACTTGCTCGTCCATCGTTCTGTCTGGATCCTCCTTCTCCTGGACTCCCTGTTCCCCTCTCTTCCGCACTGAGCCACCGTCTCCCTCTGGTCGCTTGCGCACTGTGCTGCTGCACATGTGTGCGTTTGTGCATGTGTGCGTGTGTGCATGTGTGCATGTGTGCATGTGTGCATGTGTTTGTGCGTGCATGCGTGCGTGTGTGCTGGTGTGTGGGCATGGCAGGACACGTACGCGTCCCTGCACCCATCTGACCTCAATTCGACAGCGTGCGTCACTGGGAAGCCTCTGGAAGAGGTGGGTGCTGCAGAGGAGGGGCTATTCATAAGGGGGGGAATGACAGAAGGGTGGGTGAGTGAGGGAAAGGAGGGAGAGTTAAGGGGAGAAGGGGCTAGGGTGATGGGAGTGGAGCATGGTGAAATGAAGACACTGCTTGTAGGATTCAATCATGGTACGACAGCAGCTCATGCTGCGGCGGGCATGTTCCTTGCTCTCCCACACTGCATGCCGTGGGCCGCATGGCTAATGCGTTTGCACATGTGTGGGTACTACTTCATGGGGTGTGCATGGTTTGTTCTGGCTGGTTGTGGTGATGCATGGGTGCGTGCTTGTACGTGTGTCTGCATGGTTCGCCCCGTGGCTGTCCTGGGCCTGTCATGTGCATGCTTGCATGCTTGCATGCGTGCATGGTTGCGTTGCGGGGTTGCAACGTGCATGTGTGCGTGCAGGGGGGCATTCGAGGTCGCATGGAGGCAACAGGCATGGGAGTCTTCTTTTGTCTTCGTCAATTTCTAAACTCCAAGGTCACCTCACCTCCCCTGTGCACATCTCACTTCTTCTCCACGCATCCCTCCCTTCCAAGATCTCTCTCCTTACCCTCCTCCCTTGCAACGTGCAGTGGTTACCAATACCACCTTTCCTCGTGTTTGTTCGCCACAGCTGCTGCACCTCCCACTCCCCCGCTGCCCGTCTCAACTCTGCTGTACTCGCTTGTTTCTTTCACTACAATTCCTGTGCCTGCTGCTGCAGTTACTCCTACCTGCTGCTCCTGCTTGTGCTGTTGTTGCAGCTCCTACTGCTGCTGCTGCTGCTTCTCTCAACGCCGTCACTATTACGGGCTAATAATGGTCTTTCTTTACCCACCCCCTATCCCACCCCTTACACACCTCATACCTTACCTACCTCCCACCCACTTCTCTCCCACTTCCCACCCACCTCGTACTCACCTGTTACCCACCTACTAACCACCTCCCACCCACGCACCTCCCATATCACCTGTCCGGTACAGGAGCATGCAGCGTCAGTGGGCATGGAACCAGGGGTGCGAGGCAAGTCGTTCGTCATCCAGGGCTTTGGGAACGTGGGCCGCGCTACCGCTGATGTGAGGCACCCCGCGCATGGGGAGTTGCTGCCTGGCCGCTTGTTGCCTTGCCTGCTGCTGTCTGCTGCGTCTGGCTGCTGGTTCATGTGTGAGGGGGTGGTGGTGGTTGGCTGTATCGGGGCTGTTCATGAGGACTGTTCATGAGGACTGTTCATGAGGGCTGTTCATGAGGACTGTTCATGAGGACTGTTCATGAGGACTGTTCATGAGGGCTGTTCATGAGGACTGTTCATGAGGACTGTTCATGAGGACTGTTCATAAGGACTGTTCATGAGGACTGCGAATCTCTTTGTTCATCCCACGTAGTGTGCTTATGCAAATATGCCTGCTCATGCCTGCGCATGTGTGTACATGTGTGTGCATGCATGCAGGCGGTGACAGCAGCAGGGGGGCGAGTGGTGGGTGTGATGGAGTACGATGGGGGATTGCTGGATGCCACTGGCACAGGCATGGACATGACTGCTCTGCGCCTCCACCAGAAGAGGCACCGAACCATCATGGGGTTCCCTCATGCCACACAGGTGTGCAAGCTGCAAGTCACGGCAACACATCATGGCAACACATCATGGCAACACATCATGGCAACACCTGCACATTCTTTACTTGTTTTCCTCTCACCCTCACCCTCACCCTCACCCTCACCCTCACCCTCACCCTCACCCTCACCCTCACCCTCACCCTCACCCTCACCCTCACCCTCACCCTCACCCTCACCCTGACCCACGAAGGTGCAAGACGCCTCAACGCTGCTGCACCTGCCATGTGACGTGCTCATTCCGGCTGCCCTGGAGGGGCAGATCCACTCTCGCAATGCTGCTCACATCAAGGTGACTCGCTGAGGGGCGTTTGAGAGGCGAGGACGACTCACTCCTCCATGCCATGACTGATTACTTACACCCACGCCTCTCACCCACACCCCCATCGCACCTCAGTCCATGGCATGCCATGCCTTCAAACCCCATGCCATGGGATGCCATGCTTTTCCATGCTGCGCTGTTAGATGTAATGATGTGACATCAGTTCATTGATACCCTCCTGGTGCGAGTCCTGTGACCAAATACATCATGCTGTCCACCACCGCCGCTGCTGCCGCCCCCGCCACCACCATGACCGGCCGCCATGGGTGCAGGCGCGGCTGGTTGTGGAGGCAGCCAACGGACCAGTAACCCCGCCTGCTGAAGCCATTCTGGAAGCCAACGGCACACGCATTCTCCCCGACCTGCTGCTCAATGCGGTGAGCTCCGTGGGTGGGATTAGGGGATGTGCAGGGGATGGGGGGGAGATGTGGGGAGGGATCGGGGCGGTGAAGAGAAGAGGAGGGGAGGTGCAGTGTTGAGGAGTTATTCGTGTGTTAAGTCTGGTGTTGGAGTTGAGCTGCTACTTTTGCGGTAAGCCGTCGTGAAGTGGACTCTCTCTCATTCAATCCTGTCTTGCTCTCCACTGTCCATTCCCGTCCACTCCGTGCAATGTCATGACTCATGCCATGCTGTGCTGCTCCATGGCTTGGCATGGCATGGCATGGCATGGCATGGCATGGCAGGGGGGAGTGACAGTGTCCTACTTCGAGTGGCTCAAGAATCTGAACCACATGCGCTTTGGGCGCATGAGCCGACACATGGAGGAGCGAGGCAAGGAGGTGCGCGGCATGATGCCATGGCCATGCAGGGATGCTAACCATGTGTCCACGTTCCAATACACATTCAGGACATGCCATAGTACAGTACAGCCACTTCATGGCCATCAAATGTGCACTCTGACGTCCTGCTGCTGCGTTTCCACTTTTTTCCAGTTGTGCTGCTGTCATGTGGCAGCACTTGCACGGCATTGCGGATGGTGTTTGCTCGAGTTGCGACTGTGTGTGCCTGTGGCTGCACCTGTACCCTATGATGTGACATGGCATGTGTGGCGTGGCATGGGATGGCATGGGATGGCATGGGATGGCATGGGATGGCATGGGATGGCATGGGATGGCATGGATGGCACTACAGGCGCTGGTGGAGGCACTGGAGCGGGAGCTGCTGCTGGGAGAGCGCATCGATAGTGATGTTCGACAACAACTCATACGCGGGTAATCCACACCACCATGCCATACCATGTCGCATCATGCCATGGTATGACTGTGGTGCGTCAGGCAGGCTGTATGCATCGTGTTGTGGTAGCAAGCAGTATCTTCTTTCCCTACTCGCACGGGAAGACTTTTACGGGGAGACTTTCTCTTCCATCTACCATGCAGCCTTACCTGGTTAACCACAGCTGTTTGTCTATTCCTTGTTATGAATCATGGTTCGTCCATCCTCTATCCTCAAACCACCATGTTTGATCCCTCGTGTGGCGTAGTCAGTCTCATTTTAGCAAACTTACTGTCCTTCGTTGTTTGTGTGTTGGGTGTGATCTGTTTTTAAACACAGAAACACAGAAAGAGACTTTGTGTACTCAGGACTTGAGGAGACCATGGTGCAAGCCTGGCATCATGTTGCCCAAGTTGCAAGTGTCAAGGTAACTATTGCACATCTTGTTTATGTGGCTCTTCTGTGCGAACTTGTGCTCAGTCTCTCATCTCTATCTGCTCCTTTTCCCGATGTCCCAAAGGGTTGCACTCTTCGCACTGCATGCTACCTTATCGCCATTGAGAAGATTGCAACAAGCTACCGCCTCAGTGGCATATTTCCTTAGTGTTATTTCTAGTGTAAACTGGTCATTGCTAGAATTAACTGATATTCTACAGAAATTAGGAGTCTGACTTCCCATCTCCTTCACACCATCCGTGGAGGAGGGCAAACTCAAAGTGAGCATAACTTTCAGCAGATCACAAGATGCACAGTTGGTTCACTAAGAGCTAAACCGAAAAAAGGACCGAGTTTCTGGATCACTCTATCCGCAACGTCACGATTTTCCCTGCTTTGTTAGATTGGCTTCTTGCCACGTGTCTACGCGACTCGGTGAGAGTGTACGATGTACGACAACCCTTGTACGACCTGACATGATGACTGGACCGTGGGGTGGGGGTGGACAATCCGACAACACAACTGCCGCAATTTTCTCACCACCACCGTGCAACCGCTCGATTCTTCTGAAAGTGCTCAGCCGACACGAGATTTTTCACCCTACCTCCACGGTGTCTCAGTTGTGAGTGGTGGAACAGGCCGCTCCCCTAGTCGCCAAGCAATCAGCGTCAAGTGCACGTACAAGCGCTTCGAGTGCGTCGCGTCCAGTTCCATCACACTCTCGTGCCTCGTCAGATCTCGTTTGGGGATCTTTCGGCTATGGTTGGTTGGGTAGATCGTACGATGCGGTTGCGCATGTTTTCCCCCAGGCGCCACGTCGGCTCACCGCAACTGTGGTGTGGTACACCTTGGTGGCTTTCCTGTCCCCGCTCTGATCTTGGATTCAAAAGGCTGGCAGGCTCGCAGCTCAATTTGCTCGGGCAGGCTTTATTTGATCATAGCCGTCGTCAGCGATCGTTGCTTCTGTTCATCTTCTTTCTTTCTGATCGTCGCCTTCGTTTTCCTGCTTCCATGGCGAGACATCTGATCCTCGCTGCAGCTCTGCTGCTTCTGGCCGTCAGCTGGACAGCGGCTCCAGTTTCGGCTCACAGCGCCAACGATCTTGCTAACGATGCCTCGAATGTCACGGTAACAGGCGGGAACACGAGCTGGTCCGTGACGGCTCTCAACATCACTGGCGGATGGAAGATGCTTTCCGACATGAAGGGAAGTGCCTTCCTTCCCACTAACGACGCTTGGTCGCAGGCTCGTGACGGGTATCTCAAGCAGAGCGCGGTCGACCCGTCGGTTAAGGAGGCGTTGAACACCGTCGTCGATACCAAGGCTAACGAAACCGCTTTGCTCGCCATGTCGCAAGGCGCGTGGAACGTGTTTCACAACCTGGCGCACTACCACTTGGTGATTGATCGAGTCAACGCGACTTTCATCAAGACAAATGTAAGTCCGCCGAGCATCAGAGTATCACCTGTTTGCTAGCATCAGCGCAACGTTATGTCTTCTTCATTCTACTCTACCTTGCATTCTTCACTCGTGGTCTGACTACTGATTGTGCTTGACCATTCCACACACCCTTCCCCGTTACGACGTGTCTGCAGTTGACCGGAAATACGTACTACAGGCTGACGAGCCACAAGAACGAGCCCATCTTCCTCTATTACAACAACGTCACTGATGTCATCACAGTGACGGGCACTCAACCGGCCGGAGTCTCCCCGCTCGTCGTTCCCTCCACCGGCAACGACACGCACACTTCTCATGCCGAGGTCCTGGCTGTCGCAGTTCCCCCCAAAGGACCCGCCGCTCCCGCTTCCACTCCTGCCCCCGCTCCCGTTATCGCGCCTGTGCCTGCTGTCCCTGGGACTCCCACTGCCGTGGGTAAGGTTGTGATTCCCGATATCATCGACGAGCATGGATACGCCGTCCATGGCATCGACGCCGTGCTCTTCCCCGCCCAGACGAGTGTCCTCTTCGATAATGCCAGCAAGCCTGCTAACACCACTAAGTCAGGTGAGTTTCGTTGGTTGTTGGACCATGGAATGGGATGAACTAGATGTATGTGTTTGTCGATTCCTTGCGCATTCCTTGCTCAAGATGCTCTGGACTTATATGCTTGTGTACTCTCTGCTTTTCTTTGCCTGCAGGAACCACCATCCCCGTGATCCACGGGATCTCAGCTCTTAGCATGCTCATCAGTTCCATTGTGCTCCTGCTGTAGCTTTGGGTTTTGATTCAGATCAGAGGTTAATACATTTGCTGCCGTAGTATAATTCATGTGCTCGAGGGCTTCACTGCTTGTGCTATGGCTGAAATAAGGTGGCCTTCATAGCAGACATATCTGCAATCCTACCTAGTAAGCATTCTTTGGGGCGTTGTTAACAGACTTGTGTGGTGATTTCCATTTGAGAGGATAAAACAAGGATTTCCAGCATGCATTCACTTGCCGTACCATGACACCCCATACAAACCACGGCTCTCGGGTTCTGGGTTTAGGGTGATTGTATTATTGTCTGGCAAGCTCATCACAAGCGAACCCTTGTGCATGCGGGCTGCCCCTGCCATTCTTGAGATTATAACCTGATACTAAAACAATCTAGACTACATCCCCTACATCCCTCCTACATCCCTGAGGTAATCCCTTCGGATGTGAACTCGCAGGTTCTTGCTTATTAGTCGAGCTTAGGGCGCGTGTCTTTTGTAGATGTCAAATGTTGTAGCCTATAGTGAGGTTTGTCTTAGAGGGTACAAAACTTAGGGTTAGCTATATGTACCCCAACCAACATCAATGCATCATTCATTCCTCATTCTGACATGTTATCAGAGCCCCCCGACCCTACGCCTTTAGGACCTGCCCCTGACGACGCCGCTAGAGCCCGCTTTGCCACTCAGCGAGCTGACCAGACGGCTTGGACGTCACGTGACGCTGCGGCCTGCATCGCGCTCAGCAGCCTCCTCCCTGAGTCTGAGGAGGTTCACTTCACTCAGGTTCGCACCGCTGCTGCGTACCTCACTGCGATTAAGGCCCGCTACTCTACTCCCGCTGCTGTCTCTCTTGGCCGCCTGTTCCTCCCGTTCCTGTTTCCTGACCTAGCGTCTTTTGAGCGCTCTGCTGACTTGATCGCTCACCTCCGCTCGCTCGACGCTAGTTACCGCGCTGCTTGCACTGAGGCACAGCTTGCACTGCTTCCTCCCCCTATGGCGATTACTATCTATTTCATCGCCACTAGCCTCCCTGACCGCCTTGCCTCCGTTCGCGACGCGCTTCTGCTGAAGCACCCTAGTGAGCTCACCGTCGAGGTCCTTGAGTCTGCACTCAAGGACGTCGAGAGCAACCTTCGCTCGGTAGCCGCTGCCTCTGGTGCTGTGCCCCCCCACTCTTCCACGGGTGCACAGTCCCGCAGTTACCCACCTTTACTGCCTCACTTGCCACTGCCGCTACTGACGCGACTGCAGCTGCTGTTACGACTGCGTCGCGGTCCCGCGGTAGGAGTGGCAAGAAAGGCGGTTCTGGTGGTGGTAGTGGAGGTGGAGGCGGAGGTAGTGGAGGTGGCGTTGCGCCTGGCGGCGGTGGAGGTTCAGGGCCTGGAGAGGCGCCTCGTGCAGTGACTGGTGACTCCACTGCGCCTGCTGGTGGTGGCGACGCCCGAGTTCGTCAGTCGCCTCCTGTACTTCCTGCCCCGGTTGGTGGAGCAGCGGCGTGGTACCAGGCTCAGCGTCAGCAGCAGCTTCTGCAGCACCAGCAGCCCCTCTCCTCCCAGCAGCCTCAGCAGCAGCAGCGGCAGCAGCTGGCTCCAGGGTCGGGGCTGCGTCAGACCCAGCGCGGTGCTGCTTACACTCCCTGCACCTACCAGGTTCTGACAGGCCCTCGTCGTGGCCACCCTTGTGGCCGGTTTCACCCCCCTGGTCAGTGCTTTGCTCAGCTCACTGACACGGTTCGTTTGGTCTACGGGGTTGGTGCTCCTGCCCCTGACTGGCTGCCTCTTGTTCAGCGCTACGGCTCCGCTCTGTGGGGCATGTCTGCTGAGCAGTTAGTTGATCTGATTGGTACTCCCCATGCTATGTATGCTGTTGTTGACTCTAGTGTTTCTGACTCTGCTTACTCTGGTGTTGTTAGCTTAGGTGCTAGCCTTGCTCAGTTGCCTGTTGCTAGTGTAGGTTCTTGTGTAGACTCTAGTCCAGCGGCTACCTCAGAGGACGGTTCGCTGTCGTTCACGCTGGACTCTGGAGCTTCTCACTGCTTCTTTCGTGACAGCACGCCTCTTCCTGCGCCTGTTTCTGTGGCGCTAGCTGATCCCACTTCGGGACCAGTCACCGCGCGTCACACTACCACCTTGCCGTGTCCGGCTGCTCCTTCTGGGTCTCTCACTGGGTTTCACGTCCCCTCGTTCTCCCGGAACTTGGTGGGCGTGCGACCCCTCGTGAGTCAGCACGTGGGTGTGTGGTTTGAGCCTTCTGGAGAGACTGCGGTGTGTGTTGACGGGGACTCTTACCAGCCCCTCGCCACTTTTGCTGCTGAGCCGGGCTCCGGTCTCTACACTCTTCACACTGGCCCGCGCCCTCAGCAGCGACTGCAGCAGCAGCAGCAGCCGCAGCAGCAGCAGCAGCAGCCGCAGCCGCAGCCACAGCCGCCCCTCCTGCCCCCGGCCCCTGTTTTGCCTCCCGTTCGAGTCCTCGCGTCTCACCAGGTTGCTCCGTCCCCCCAGGTAGCTGTGTCTTGTCAGGTTCCTCCGTCTAGTCCGGTCGCTGCGTCGTGCTCCTGTCGGTCGCTTGCCCACCCCACCGTTTTGTGGCACCACCGGCTGGGGCACCCTTCTCCTCCTCGTCTTCGCGCTATGTCTCGTCAGCGTCTTGTCTTAGGTCTCCCGCGTGTCTTGCCGTCGCTGCCGCCGTCCCTTGCACCACCGTGCGGTCCTTGCGTCGAGGGTAGGCTGCGCGCCACCCCTCACTCCTCCTCCCTTCGTCCGGCCACCGAGCCTTTTGAGACGCTGCACTTGGACGTCTGGGGCCCCTCTCCTCGCCCTGGCCCTGAGCGTGAGCGTTTCTTTTTGGTGGTCGTTGACGACTACTCCCGCTACACCACAGTGTTCCCCCTGGCGAGGAAGTCTGAGGTGACTTCTACGCTGATCAGGTGGTTGCTTACCACCCAGGACACTCGTGGTCGTCGTGTCAGCTGTCTCCACTCCGACCGCGGGGGCGAGTTTCGCTCCGGCATTCTCGCTGGATTCTGTCGCGAACAGGGCATTCGTCAGTCCTGGACGCTTCCGGAGTCCCCACAGCAGAATGGGGTTGCTGAGCGTCGCATAGGCCTGGTCATGGAGATTGCCCGCACCTCCTTGACTCACGCCCGTGCCCCCCATTTCCTGTGGCCATACGCGGTCAGGTACGCCGCGCACCAGCTGAACCTCTGGCCACGCGTCTCTCGGCCGGAGGCTTCACCGACCAGTCTTTGGACAGGGTCCCCTGGTGTCGCGTCGAGGTTTCGTGTCTGGGGGTGCTTGGCTCTTGTCCGCGACACCTCCGCGGACAAGCTCTCGCCTCGCGCCGTTCCTTGTGTCTTCCTTGGTTTCCCTGAGGACTCCTCTGACTTCACCTTTTACCACCCTCCCTCTCACCGGTTCTTTGACTCCCGTGACGTCCGTTTCGAGGAGTCCACCCCCTACTACGTCAGGTACCCCAGTCGAGGTCTCCCGGTCCCTCCCCCCCCTCTCTTCCTGACCGCCGCTCCCCCGCCTGCTCCCCCGGTACAGCCTCCCCCCCCTGGTCCAGCCCCGTCTGGTGTGTCTCAGGCTAGCCCTCCCCCTTCGGTAGCCCCCCCTGTACAGCCTCCCTCCCCACAGTCTTCCTCGCCGCCTCCTGCAGGTGCTCCCTCTCGAGAGGTTGGTCCTGCGACTGTCCCTGTACAGGTCTCTGGTTCTGGGGGTGCTGGAGTTGGAGCTGAGCCGCGGGTTGCAGAGGACTCTTGTCTTCCGGGGGCTGGTACTGGTCGTGCGGAGTCTGGGGGTGCTGGTGCGGAGTCTGGGGGTGCTGCGTCTGGGGGTGAGGGTGTCCCTTCGGTTTCTGGAGAGCCTGGGTCTGGAGCTGGTGTTGGTGCTGCCTCTGGGGGTGGTGTGCTTGGTGCTTCGGAGGTCGACTCTGGGGCTGCCGCTGCCCCGGACACTACTCCTTCCCCCCACCCCTACCCGACCAGGTTCCAGGCTCGTGTTCGCCGTGCTCGTGAGGAGCAGCTGGAGTTGGAGAGAGAGGAGAGAGAGTTGCAGCGGCTCGAGGAGCAGGAGCGACAGCAGCAGGAGCAGCAGCAGGAGCAGCAGCAGAGGCAGCAGCCGCTGGAGCAGCAGCAGCCACAGCAGCCGCGGCAGCAGCAGCAGCAGCAGCAGCAGCTGCTGCCGTCTCCTCCTCCTGTCTCAGGTCTTCGGACCCTTGGTCTCCCGTCTCCCTCTCCTTCCTCCTCCCCCTCTCCTCCCGTCTCTGGTCCTCCGCTTCCTCCTCCTGACCCCTCTCCCGCTGTTTTCCCTCGTTCTCAGTCTTCGTTGTCTCCTCCTCCTTCTCAGACTTGGGCCTCTCGTCGCTCCCCTCGTGCTCGTCCCTCGTCTCCTGTTCCCTTCACTGACCTTCGTACAGCCTTCCTTTGTTCTCGTCCACCTCGTCCGTCTCCGTCTGTGCTTCCGTCTCCTCCTGAGTCGGCCCTCACTGTGTCGCTTCCTTCTCCTGTCACTGACTACTACCGCACGTACCGTCCTGTTCTCTCTCGTGTTCTCGCCTCTCTTGTTACCCACCCTCGTGCCTCTGTGTCCTCTGTGTCCGCTCTTACTGCCGCAGTCACTGAGTTTGCCTCTACCCGCCGCCTTGACTTCGCCACCGCTCTTGTGGCTGCTCCTCCTTCCAGTCCTCTGGCCGTCGGGGGTGTGTCTGCCCTTGGCTGTGACGCCCTAGAGGACAGGCAGTTTGAGCTAGAGTTCCTGGCGGCCGCTTCCCCTCATCTCTGTGCCATGCTCCTCGCCCCTGAGGGTGACCCCGACGCCCTTGACATTCCGACTCCTCGCACTTACGCTGAGGCAGTGTCAGGGCCTTGGGCCTCTCAGTGGAGAGCTGCCATGGACGCAGAGATGGCCTCCTACAGATCCACAGGCACCTACGTCGATGAGGTTCCCCCTCCGGGGGCGAACGTAGTCGACGGCATGTGGATCTACAGGGTGAAGCGGCCACCGGGATCTCCTCCGGTCTTCAAGGCGCGCTACGTGGCTAGAGGTTTCAGTCAGCGCGAGGGAGTTGACTTCTTTCAGACCTTCGCGCCCACCCCGAAGATGACCACTCTTCGGGTGTTACTACACGTAGCAGCACAGAGAGACTACGAGTTACACTCTCTCGACTTCTCTACTGCTTTCCTTCAGGGCAGTCTTCACGAGGAGGTCTGGTTGCGTCGTCCCTCTGCCTTCACTGGCTCTTTCCCTCCTGGGACCCAGTGGAGGCTGAGGCGACCGGTTTACGGTCTTCGTCAGGCTCCTCGTGAGTGGCACGACACCCTGCGTTCTACCTTGTCTGACCTTGGGTTCCAGCCGTCTTCTGCTGACCCGTCGCTGTTCGTTCGTCGTGGCCCCACACCTTTCTTTGTTCTGGTCTACGTTGACGACCTTGTTTTCGCCACCCCTGACAGGGTTGCTTTGGCACACGTGAAGTCCGAACTGCAGAAGAGACACACCTGCACTGATCTTGGTGAGCTGCGCCACTACCTTGGCCTGCAGATCACCAGGGACAGAGCTGCTCGCACCATTACACTTTCACAGTCGCACATGGTGCAGCAGGTCCTTCAGCGGTTCGGGCTTCAGCACTCCACAGTACAGCGCACACCTCTTGCTGTTGACCACAGACTCACTGGACCCTTTCCTGACGAGCCGTTCGAGCCTAGTGGTCCCTACGCAGAGCTTGTGGGTTGCCTCATGTACCTGATGACTTGTACTCGCCCGGACCTCGCCTTCCCTCTCAGCGTTCTTGCGCGTTTTGTTGCGCCAGGGAGACACCGTCCTGTTCACTGGACAGCAGCTGTGAGGGTGGCGAAGTACCTAGCGACGACGTCAGGCGTGGGGCTAGTTCTTGGAGGGCAGCAGTCTGTCGTACTTACTGGTCACTGTGACTCCTCTTACGCTGACGACGCTGAGACTCACAGGTCTACTCAGGGGTACTGTTTCAGCCTGGGTTCTGGAGCTGTTTCCTGGCGGTCCACGCGCTCCTCTTCGGTCTCGACCTCTACAGCTGAGGCTGAGATCTACGCTGGTGCCATGGCGGCACAGGAGCTGCGTTGGTTGACCTTCTTGCTCACCGACCTTGGTGAGCGGCCGAGCTCTGCACCGACCTTGTTCACTGACAACAAGGCGTCTATTCTCCTTTGTCGAGAGCCACGACTGGAGAGCAGAGTGAAGCACATTCACGTCAGGTACTTTCTTCTGCGAGAGTTGCAGAGGCGTGGACAGGCTCGCTTTGAGTTTGTGGAGTCCGAGGCCAACACTGCAGACATCTTCACCAAGGCGCTTCCGCCTTGTGACCACCAGAGGTGCTGTGTGCAGTTAGGCCTTGTTGACACTGGTTCTCGTGTTGCTTAGACTTGAGTGTACTGTTTACTTTGCTTTCTATATACCTCTGTTACTTCTTGGACTGGCCTTGTGGCCACTGTTGTTTGTGCTCAGACTGTGTGGTGACGTTGTGATCCACCCTGAGCTTTGTTTCTTGGACTGGTCTTGTGACCGTACTCGTTTGGTTCTGCTAGACACCCCTCACTTAGGCTATGGGGGTGTGTCAAATGTTGTAGCCTATAGTGAGGTTTGTCTTAGGGGGTACAAAACTTAGGGTTAGCTATATGTACCCCAACCAACATCAATGCATCATTCATTCCTCATTCTGATAGTAGATTGTCAAAGCTCGAGCCTTGTACCACTTTGTACCGTGGTGACACGTCTCTCAACAGTATCCTACCGTGTATAACCTTTCTAGAAATCCGAACTTCGACAAAAGTTCAACCACAAGGACCCACGCCCTTAGAAATAGGGAAATCAATCACGAGGGGGAAATGCAGATCCAAATGCTGGTCAGACAAATCCAAATATAGCATCCAGCCGTTGGGGTGCAATACTCCCAAGTCCAGCTATTAGCATGATGCGGAGCAGGAAAACACGAATCCAGTAGGAGTACAGTGCAGTGCATGCACACGCAACTTCACAGGGTTGCAATACGGCAGAAAATTGAGAACCACAAACAAACACACCACTCTCTCGACCACTGTGTTCTCTTCCACCATAATCAAGACGGTTCAATCCAATCAAGTCAAATCAGGCCACGGTGGCAGTGGCAGTCGCACCAAGCAGCCCACCACAGCCCGGCCAGTACCACTCATCTGCTCCGGCAAACTGCAGTGCATACAGCACAGGGGGGTCCACGCTAGAGCAGGAAGACACACCTCCCGCGCCTGCCGCCCCCCCTGCCCCTGTGCCTGCCCCTGCACCTGGCTGTGCAGCAGGCGAGGCAGGAGCAGGGGGGGCGGAGTGCAGGATGTGAATGGCCTCTATGCGCCGGCGGTCCAGCTCCATGTCTAGACACAGCGCCTCCACCGCTGCACGAAGGAGCAGCATGGAAGGGAAGGGAGTATGACGAGGAGAGTGGGGAGGAGAGTGGAGAGGAGTGTGAGCGGCGGAGTGGAGAGTGTGGAGGAGAGTGTGTGGAGTGTATAGAAGGAGGGCGTGTGGTTGGTCGGGAAGGGAGAGAGAGAGGGGAGGGGGAGGGGAGCACAGGAAGGTTGAAGAAGAATGAGAGGGTGGCATGATTTCAGATCTGCGACTTCCATGAGTCCCACACAGGAACAACCTCTCTCCGTAGATGACTGGCAGCACACGCATGCACACAGCGCACGCTTACGTAACCATCTATGCCCCTCCCGCCCAGAACATGCATCTCCTCTCCCAGCAACACACCACCCAAAGAAACACACCTCCCCCAGCAACGTACCTTCCCAGTTGAGGCATGGCACCAGCGACAGCTCCTCTTCGTTCTCTCCCTCTCCCGTGCCCTCTCCTCCTCGTGCTGTTGCTGCTGCTATAGCTGTGTTGCCCACGCAGCTGGAGTGCAGAACGCCCCCCACGGGCACGCAGTCGGACTCAGTCAGTGACACGCCCGCCAGGTCCGACTCCAAGTCCATACTGAGAGCACCACTGAACGCGCCCTTCCCTCCTCCCGACGTCCGCATACCTCCACCACCAACACCTGCACCAGCAGCAGTAGCAGCAGAAGCAGCACCGTTGTAGGGACGGAAATCCATGACGGGCTGAAACGAGCCACTGCCGATGCCGCGGCTGCTGGCGGAGAAGGCGCGGCTGTCGGGGCTGCGCGAGCCCGACTGCGCCCAGTCGCCCTGCGCGCCGAGCTTGTTGCGCGCGCGCGCGTCCATCAGTAGCGTGAGGTCGTCCTTGCCTGCGCGGGTTGGGCGGGGCGGGAGGCGCGGGGGCGGGGTTGAGGGGGATGGCGAGAGTTGCGGACGGCAATGGTAAAGGGCGAAAGGCGAAGGCGAAAGGGCGAAAAGGCGAAATGGGGAAGGGAGAATGCGAAGCGGAGTGGTATGATGGCAAGAACTAGAGGCGACAGCTGCTCAAACGTGGTGCGAATGAGATAAATGAAGTGGAGAGCAAGACAACGGGGATTCGTAAGACGGAAATAACCGGGGGCTCTGCAAGAGGAGGGGACGTTGAGCGAGGCGCCACTCACTTTCGGAGCGCGTGGGTCCGGCGCAGTTCGACGTCCGCAGCAGCGAATGACTGCGCACAACCTCCCCACCCGCCAAGTGGCTCCTCCCGATTCCGCCACTCGCCGCCGCGCCGACGAAATGCGGGTGATCGGGGGATGTCCCCGCGGAGAGGGGCAGAGCGCTGTGCGGGGGGAAGAGCAGGTTATCAGGGGAACCTAGCGTGGAGAATCCGCCGTAACCGCCGCCGCCGCCCCCGCCGCCACAGCCGCCGGTCATGCGCATCATACCGCTGCTTGTGCGGCGCCCGTGCAGCGACCGCATCGCGATTTCTGACGCGCCGGAACGCGCGGCACACGCGCCCGTACCGCCATCCTCAGCACCCACGCCGTGAACTTGCGTGTGACTGTATTGAGCGTCAGGGAGGTTAGAAGCGGGGAACGGATGGCCGCTGGTCGCGCCGCTGACCTGCTGCGGTAGCGCGTGGTTGAGGCTCCATCGCTGCACCTGCTCCTTATGCGACATACTTATTGCGGCGCTTAAAGACATGCCCTTTGAGTTGAACGTCGGCTCTTTTATCGCGATCCTCGCGCCGCCGGCGGCGCCGCTCCCGCTGTTGCTGCGGGAGAAGTTGCGCGGCGAGTTCGTCGCGGATGCTAACGGCGAACCGCCGAACGGCGAGCCGGTGCGGCTTGTATCTCGCGGGATTCGCGGCAACGGTCCGGAGTTGCAGTTCCCGCCGCTGAGAGTCGGATCGCGATAAAAAGCCGTCGTCGCCGCCGAAATTGAAGGGTATGGGCCGTTAACGCCATTGCTTAAGGTGGCATCGCGGAAAAACTCCCCGGATAGGCGCGGCGGCGGCTGGGGCGAGGGGGAGCCGAGGGGAGACCCACCCGCGCTGGAGGGGCGGGAGGAATAATCCCCTCCGCCGAGGCGCAACTCGCCCGATTGGCCCGTCGCCGCGCCGCAAAAGGCGCCAAATCGCGGCACGTTATCGGGGAGGTGCACGGGAGAGGACGACGTGCGAGCGGGGCTGCGGTTGGGGCTGCGAGAATGGTTGCTGTAGGAGGGAAAGAAAGGCGGCAGGTCTGAGGGGAAGCGGGCGGATTTCGAGCCGATGAAGTCGCCGTCGTGAGAGGCGCCGAAGCCGCCGCTGCTGACGGTGGTGGCATTGCTGCTGTTGGTAGATATTATGTCCACTTCGCTTGTGAAATCACTACTGGGGATTCTGCCGCTCCTGCTGCTTCTGCTGCTTCCGTAGCTTCCGTACGACGCAAACATGCCGACCGTGTCATCGCGAGCCGCACCGAGGTTCCCGCTCATTGACGCCATGGCGAACATCCCAGAACTCGGGTACTCGCCGTGTGCAGGGGCCATAGCGCCGTGGGGAGTCTGCACGTAAGCTCGGATGGAGAAGGGAGCAAGTTGCACATTTCACATTCTCACAATCCTCTTTTGGTCAATCACATTTGTTGGAGCGGGAGGGGGGGAGGGAAGCTGTTTTCCGATGGTGTGGGGGGGATTTTGGCATGCGGATGGCGGGGATGGAAGGGAGGGAGGGCGGGTGCATTTCGTGTGGCTGTGTATGCGCGCGTTGTGTGGCAAGCGGAGGAAAGTCTACCCACGATAGCCCCGCAAACCGCATTCATGGGAAGCGCGCAGGAAGGATGTGGTTGGGGGATTTTCGGGAAGTGCGGCAGATGGACGGACACGATGATCGCTGTTGCATCCCCGTGGGAATTTATTACAATGCAACATCGACATGTGGGCAGGTGAGGTTTGATGAGGACGTTAAACAAGCCTGCGGAATAGAAAAAGGCGTGTTCGAGAGTACGTTTGAATGCGGCTTAGAGAGATGCTTGACATTCTAGAGTTTTCAAACAGCAATCTAGAACCAACGCGCCTATGAATTTAATGGCGGGCTGAAAGAAAAATGTAAGAAGTGGGGCGCAAAAGTTTTGTGTGCAGTTTAGCTCAATGACACAGCATCTCAGGAGATGCGGTACAGTTTCCAACAACTGGCACAAGGACAGCCCCAAACCGAATCTGCGTGGCGCCAGCTTGTGGATGTCGTTACAACTGAGATAGACGCAATCATTTTCCTAATCCTCGGAGTTGTCACGTCATGAGCTCTGTTTAATCCTCGGCCACAATTTGCACGACCAACGAAACAAAACGCGTGATTTCCTTCCAGCTCTAATTCGTTTTTAGCTTCTACCCTTAACAAGTTACGAAGAGAGAGCCACACCTTGTTGTCACCCAAACTGTAAGTCTTCCATATGAACGTACTAAATGTTTCCTTGAGGTGATTGTATGAACTGAACATGTATCAGCTAAAACCACTCCATGTTCTGCATGAACATAGGCATCACCTCTCGGGACAGTGCATATCAGAATTGAACATGCTTAACCTATAGTGCACTTCACCTTATCAGCAACTCTATATTACCGGGACAGCATCGATGTTATCCTTGAGCTCTTTAGTCTCCCAACTGTCAACGGATGCTGAGATTTTGCACACAGGAGATAGAAAACAGGGGGGAAATATTGTTCAATAATTGGGAACCACCAGAGAGGTGTACAACAGCACAAGAATAAATAACACTCCAACTCCCACTCTCCAACCCGACCTCTGCCCTGTTGTCCCCGCACACCCCCCCTCTGCACTTCAATCACTCTTCTTCACTCCCCATCTCTTACCATACGCGGCATGCTTGACCGCAGCTGCCATGAGCCTGCGCTGCAGGATGGCAGCAATAGCTAGGAAGAAGGCGCACATGCCAAACATGGCCGTGATGGGGAATGCGCTCACCTGCACACCGGGACGCACAACAGAGCAGCGAAAAAACACACAGATGTTACATGCGGGCCTTTTTGCCAGAATCCCAAATGCAACTCAAGCAGCAACAGCAGCAGCAGAGGGTTGCCACTAGCGTTCCAACAGCAATGGCAGCAGAACGGACTGTGAAGCAGCAGCCGCGCAAAGAAGCTTACGTTGTAGAGGACAACGCAGACGAAGATGTTGAGGGGGATGCGGAAGAAGTTCATGATGGTGGCGCGGGACTCCTCCGGGATGTACTGCGAGCGCATCTTCATGATGGACGGCCAGAAGATGCCCACGCACACCTCAAACAGGCAGAACCCCACCAGCTGCACCTGCCCTCCTGCCGTGATGCCGCCGCCCTCGGGAGGAGATGGCTCAATGAACATCTGCATGGCAACAACAGCCAGTCAGAACATAGTATTCTCGAAGCTCATCCAGTTTGCTTCAAGCTCCAAACTCAATCACAAATCCACCAAACAAACTTTGCGTTTGACATGCGGGCACGGAACCACTGCAGGGGTAAACGGAGTTGGGTGCGGGCGTCCTTACAAAGTTGAAGATGGGAACGAGCAGCGACACGGACGCGACGGAGAAGACGATCTGCATGTACAGCTCCACGCGCAGGTTCTGGCGCGCCATGAGGCGCGATGCGAGCGAGGAGCCAATCATGGAGGAGAGCATGAAGGTGGCGAAGATGAATCCGTGCGGGATGCGCTGGTTGTTGGGGGAGAGCGCGGGCGTCCACAGGAACACGAACGTGTACATGCTGCCCTCGAAGAGCGACTGGATCGCGCCCAGCAGGGCGATCTTCTCGTCTGCATCATAGGACACGCGCAGGGGGGGAAGAGGAGAGGGGGGGGGCTACTGATGAGCAGCAGAAAGTACATAATGTCGAAATGCAACAGCCGCCACAGAACAACATTGCGCCATGGCACATGTGGATGAGGTCGCCATTGGTCAGTGCGCAATGGGTGTTTTGACAAGGCGAGAAAGCTCACCAGACGTGATGGCAGAGAGCGCATTCTTGAACTGCGTTGCCAGGCCCTTGTTCTCGTTCGGGTCGCCGTAATTCTCGGGCCACGTGTAGATGATAACCGCCATGCCGATGGCCAGCAGCACCGCCGCCGCGTCGAACGGCGCGACGGGTCCCAGCGACAGGTCCGTGACGAGCGTGTTGGCGATGAGTCCAGCGAGAATGGCGACGAGCCCGTTACCCAGGAAGATGGCCTTGGAGAACGTCACAGACAGCCACTGCGGGTCGTACCCGCGCTGCAGCACCAGATAACAAGGCGAAGGAGGAGGAGGAAAACCGGTGAGGATATTGAAGGGGAGGGGGAAGGAGGAATGCCAGATGAAGAGGAGGTGGGGGAAGAAGAGCGAAGCGGAAAGTGAAGGAGGAAGGCACACAGACAGGGGATTAAGATGAGAGGTGAGGCTAGAGAGAAAATGGCATCAACAGAAAGAAGAAATTGCGAAGGAGGGAAACAACACTTGAGTAAGTGAACGAGACATCGACGTGGGGGAGAAAACAAATGTTCAAGACGCAAAAAAAAAAAAAAAAAAAGACCTGGCGGACGAAGAAACTCTTTCCGCTGAGCGGACGAGACAAGAAACGGAGAATATTCCCAATATAAAAGATGTGAAAAACTTACACTAAAGCCGTTCTTCCCTCTTTCCGTTTCTACAAAACTGACTGCTTTCTCAGAGGTGATTCATGTTAGACAGATTTCGCGGGTACACATCATATGTTCACAAATTTAAGCTCATATGTTCTTTCACCAGGCACCGCACCCTTGTTCCCCGCAGCTCCGCGAGTGGCGTACCTTGAAGTGCTCCGCGACGAGCCACGACTCGAAGGCGGAGAAGAGCAGCGAGGTGGCGATGCCTCCGAGCACGCGGCCCACCATGAGCACGCCGTACTGCGGCGAGTGCTTGGTGAAGCAGCTCAGGATGTACGTGACGCAGTAGACGATGCTCGCATTGCGACGACCACTGCCACCGGAACAAAGCAGTCGAACGACACGGTGTGAGCACGGACGGCGATAATGTTGAATAGATAAGGAACGGCGACCGATTCAGAAAAGATATGTATGAGATTGAAACAGAATCCACGAGTCATACAGCAGAACCATAAAAAAGAATCGCAGCAAAACAACCTACTGGCAAATTCAAATCCATAGATCACTTCACTTACTGTTTGTCAGCAAGCGAACCGACGATCGTTCCGAAGATCATGGATGAGCCGAATCCGGCGATGAAAAGGCGACCGATGTCGCCTTGATCGTAGCCGTAGTGCTGGTACAGCGCGTACACGTACGGGCCCTGCAGCCAGTCTCCCGCTGCACCATTCACACGACAGATTCCACCCCGTTAAACAGTGATGCTGCGTAAATTATCAGGTGAACGAGATATATGCGTGAGTGTTTAAAACGGACAATAAGCAAGGATCTGAAACCCAACGAAACGACGAGTGTAAGAGCGTACGTACCCATCATGAGGCAGTAGACGACGAGATAATTGTTCTTGAAGCTCTCGAACGCGGAGTTCGTCTGCACGCGGTCATTCTGGCCTTTGCTGAATTCCAGCCCGCAGCACGCTACCAGCAGCAGTGCGAAGAGGACGTAGAAAAAGATCTCCATGGCGGCGAGCCTTGCTGTTTCCGCTGTCGCTGCAGGTGCTGCTGCTGCAGCAGTGGCGGTGGTGATACCTGGATCTGACTTATTTCTGCTGAGAATCTCACTAGCAGCTCCAAACAGCAGCTGTTGCTAGTGCACTGGATGAAACAACAGCAAGTCTGAAGAGATAAGCAACCAAGCACTAGAATTCGGCAGCCCAGATTCTGTCACCCAGACATGAGTTCCAGTCAGGGAACTCCAACCAGACCAGTATTTCTTTGCCTTGCCTCACATCGTCCGCCACGTGTATCAAACCTGGCTCGGCTGACTCGAGGTCTCGCTCGGACGCGCGAAAAGTCGCTTCGGACCAGACCAGACTTGTTCGCGGGCCTTTGAGCATGATTTGTCAGACAGCTTCGACTGACCGATCACCCTGCCATACCGCCCTGGCGGTGGCGGGGGTCAAGTGTCGATTCGATATAAGCGCTGGGAGTCATGCGGCACCCTTAGGTTGCAAAAAACATGTCGAGTGAAAGGACGTTACGCTACAGTAAACAAAATCTCCCTTATCAGGAAATCGAGGATGCTATTCCTACGTTGGGGGGTGATATGAATTACGATGAACCGAAACCCGTGTTGGTAGATGTTTCCAGTGCCACTTGGTGCGGTTGCAGCAAACATTTGCCTCGCGCGTTCCGCAGTGGGAAGCAACGGATCAGTCACTGTCACTACTAGTAGTTCGCAGCAATGGAGGATAAAAGTCGCACCGACGACGGCTGCGAGGAGCGGGGAAATGGTGCCACAGCAGCCGCGGCGCTCGACAGCGTCGCGAGCGGCAAGAAGAAGAACAAGAAAAAATCCAAGGGCCGCGCAGCAGGCAACGCGACGCAGCCCGCGGACGCAGGCAATGAGAAGGGAAGCAGCAGCGGCAGCAGCAGTGCGGCGTTGCCTAGTCAGGGCGAGGTGGCGGCTCGTTTCCACTGGCGCGTGGAGGTCAAGCCGGGCAAGGGCCGATGCGCCATCGCTAGCAAGTGAGCGCCAATCAATTTCAATCCGTTCCATGAGTTAGCGCGAGCGCTGAACGCATCGACAAGCGCTGCTGATAGCGCTGGTAACGCTATGCGCGGAACTCCCCGGTCCTCCCCTGCACTCCCGCCCGCACATACCCCTCGTATTGCAAGCCTCCTCTTCCCGCCGCGCGCCGATCGCATCATCCTTGCTTTCGCTCGCCGCCGTATCCCCCGTACCCTGTACCCCAAACCTCGCTGCCCTCCTCTCCCCTCCTTTCCCCTCCGCGCCTCCCCTCCGCCGGCGCCGTCCGCGGAACGCCTGAACGCGGAACCCCGCAGGTCGTTCGAGCGCGGGCAGGTGGTTCTGGCGGAGACGGCGCTGCTGTTCGTGCCTCGCGATGCGTACCATGCCGTGCTCTGCCACTGCTGTGGTCACACGTTCGGGGACAGCGGCGATGGCAGTCATTCGTCGCCCCTCCCGTGCCATGGCTGCGGCTTCGCTGTCTTCTGCTCCGTGCGTCCCGTTCAACCTACCTCTACCCATTCCAAAACCCTACCTAAACCCCCTCTTGAACCCTGACACCCCCTAAATTTCCCTCCCTATCCATTTGTCCCTCTTTACCCTCCATAACCCATTCATTCCCCCTGCCCCATTTCCCCCCCCCGCCCCCCTCCTTTGCCCCCCTCTGTTGCTGTGTATGCACCGCTGTGAGGTAAAGGTCTTTGATGCCACGCCGTCTCCGCCCCCTTGAAGCTTTCAGCCTCTATTGCTTTCTTTCCCTCCGTGTGCCACAACACACCCTTCTCTGCGTGCGTGTTTGTATGAGTAGCCATGTGTGTTGGCATGTGCGTGTTGGCATGTGTGTGTTGGCATGTGTGTGTTGGCATGTGTGTGTTGGCATGTGTGTGTTGGCATGTGTGTGTTGGCATGTGTGTGTTGGCATGTGTGTGTTGGCATGTGTGTGTTGGCATGTGCGTGCTGCCATGTGCGTGTTGGCATGTGCATGTGAATCTCCATCCCCACGTGCATCCATGCACCCATGCACATGCAGGAGTGTGCGCCCTCAGCACAGCCCAGGCACAGTGCGTACTGTCCGCTCTTCCGTGCGCTGCCTGCCATCGCACGAGCAGCAGACTGCTCGCCTGACCTCCTCCACCTGCTCCTCTGCATGGCTCAGGTGCGCCCCCCTTTCCCTTTATCTCCGCCTCTCATTCATTCTTGTCCTGCTCTTTCATGTGCGCGTGTGCCTGCATGTGCATGTGCGCATGCCTGCACCCATGCACCCATACACGCCTGCACCCATACACGCCTGCATGCCCTTGCCATAGTGAGCTGCTCTTGAAGGTCCTGACCTCCTTCCTCCCACTTCACCCCACAACCGTCTCCATTTCTTGAAAATTCCTCCTGTCCCCCTCAACTTCTCTCACTCTTTCTTCCTTATTATCTCCAAACCGTCCTCGCTTCCACCGCTCCTCTCCCCGGTGCATGCATCAGGTGCAACACGGAGCAGCTCAGAAGCCCTCATGTCCCCATGCGCTGCATCAGCCGTCCAAGGCCTCTCCCACCACCGCTCTCAACCCCATCACACCCACCTTGCAGGAAAGTTACCACATTACCAGGCTACCACGTCATGTCACAACAGTACCGCTTTACCACATTTTGCAGAGTGCAGATTCTTTGTTGCCCATCTATCTACGTCCAAATCCCAGCATGCCCTCTCTCAGTGTAAGATGACTTTGAGGCGCCTCAAAGCTCATCTGAGTGAGTCTGCGCCTCCATGAAATCCCTCCCTCTGCCCTTCCTCTGCCCTCTCTCTCCCCTCTCGCTGCAGGACGCATTGAGTCTGTCCTCCATGGACACCTCCCAGCAGCCCGAGTGGGCAGCGGCAGTGGCTGCCGCGTGCTCTGCTCTCTCCACCGCTGCTGCTTCCCTGCCGCCTCTGGTGGAAGGACAGGAGGGCGCACAGGGAGGAGGGGGTGAAGGGGAGGGGCGCAGAGGAGGAGAAGGAGGTGCGATCAGGTCACTTCTTCCAGACACAGGTGAGATGCACGTTCAGGATCTTGATTACAATCAGAATTAGGATTACAAGCTTATGCTGATGCTGATGCTGATGCTTATGCTTATGCTGATCCTGATGCTGATGCTGATGCTGATGCTGATTCTGATGCTGATGCTGATGCTGATGCTGATGCTGATGCTGATCCTGATGCTGATGCTGATGCTGTTGCTGATGCTGATGCTGATGCTGATGCTGATGCTGATGCTGATTCTGATGCTGATGCTGATGCTGATGCTGATCCTGATGCTGATGCTGATGCTGATGCTGATGCTGATTCTGATGCTGATGCTGATCCTGATGCTGATGCTGATGCTGATGCTGATGCTGATGCTGATGCTGATTCTGATGCTGATGCTGATGCTGATCCTGATGCTGATGCTGATGCTGATGTTGATGCTGATGCTGATGCTGATGCTGATCCTGATGCTGATGCTGATCCTGATGCTGATGCTGATGCTGATGCTGATGCTGATCCTGATGCTGATCCTGATGCTGATGCTGATGCTGATCCTGATGCTGATGCTGATGCTGATGCTGATGCTGATGCTGATTCTGATGCTGATGCTGATGCTGATGCTGATCCTGATGCTGATGCTGATGCTGATGCTGATCCTGATGCTGATGCTGATGCTGATGCTGATGCTGATTCTGATGCTGATCCTGATGCTGATGCTGATGCTGATGCTGATGCTGATTCTGATTCTGATGCTGATCCTGATCCTGATCCTGATGCTGATGCTGATGCTGATGCTGATGCTGATTCTGATGCTGATGCTGATGCTGATGCTGATGCTGATGCTGATCCTATTGCTGATGCTGATGCTGATGCTGATGCTGATTCTGATTCTGATGCTGATCCTGATCCTGATCCTGATGCTGATGCTGATGCTGATGCTGATGCTGATGCTGATGCTGATTCTGATGCTGATGCTGATGCTGATGCTGATGCTGATGCTGATTCTGATGCTGATGCTGATGCTGATGCTGATGCTGATGCTGATGCTGATGCTGATTCTGATTCTGATGCTGATGCTGATCCTGATGCTGATGCTGATGCTGATGCTGATGCTGATGCTGATCCTGATGCTGATGCTGATGCTGATGCTGATGCTGATGCTGATCCTGATGCTGATGCTGATGCTGATGCTGATGCTGATTCTGATTCTGATGCTGATGCTGATGCTGATGCTGATGCTGATGCTGATCCTGATGCTGATCCTGATGCTGATCCTGATTCTGATCCTGATGCTGATCCTGATGCTGATGCTGATGCTGATGCTGATCCTGATGCTGATGCTGATGCTGATGCTGATGCTGATTCTGATGCTGATGCTGATGCTGATCCTGATGCTGATGCTGATGCTGATGCTGATCCTGATGCTGATGCTGATGCTGATGCTGATGCTGATGCTGATGCTGATGCTGATCCTGATCCTGATCCTGATCCTGATCCTGATCCTGATCCTGATCCTGATGCTGATGCTGATGCTGATGCTGATGCTGATGCTGATCCTGATGCTGATGCTGATGCTGATGCTGATGCTGATGCTGATGCTGATGCTGATGCTGATCCTGATGCTGATGCTGATGCTGATGCTGATGCTGCTGCTGATGCTGATGCTGATCCTGATGCTGATGCTGATGCTGATGCTGATGCTGATTCTGATGCTGATGCTGATGCTGATCCTGATGCTGATGCTGATGCTGATGCTGATGCTGATGCTGATCCTGATGCTGATGCTGATGCTGATCCTGATGCTGATGCTGATGCTGATGCTGATGCTGATGCTGATTCTGATGCTGATGCTGATGCTGATGCTGATCCTGATGCTGATGCTGATGCTGATGCTGATGCTGATGCTGATCCTGATGCTGATGCTGATGCTGATGCTGATGCTGATGCTGATTCTGATTCTGATGCTGATGCTGATGCTGATGCTGATCCTGATGCTGATGCTGATGCTGATGCTGATGCTGATGCTGATGCTGATGCTGATCCTGATGCTGATGCTGATGCTGATTCTGATTCTGATGCTGATCCTGATGCTGATGCTGATGCTGATGCTGATGCTGATGCTGATGCTGATTCTGATTCTGATGCTGATGCTGATCCTGATGCTGATGCTGATGCTGATGCTGATGCTGATGCTGATTCTGATGCTGATGCTGATGCTGATGCTGATGCTGATGCTGATGCTGATGCTGATGCTGATGCTGATGCTGATGCTGATCCTGATGCTGATGCTGATGCTGATGCTGATGCTGATTCTGATTCTGATTCTGATGCTGATCCTGATCCTGATCCTGATGCTGATGCTGATGCTGATGCTGATGCTGATTCTGATGCTGATGCTGATGCTGATGCTGATGCTGATGCTGATGCTGATGCTGATGCTGATGCTGATGCTGATGCTGTTGCTGTATGCACCCGTTCTGCATTCATCCCACAGTTCTGTCTCGCGTTTCACCTGTACCATGCGTCGTCCATCTCCCCCACCATTCCTCATTCCTCATTCCCCTCTCCACCCTCCTCTCTGCCCTCCTCCCACGCCTCCTTTCTCTTTCCTCCTCCCCATGCCCTCACAGCAACGCTGCAGAGGTGGGCAGCGCTGATGGGTAACAACGTGCATGGCATGGGCGCACACGGCCCTCTCAACCCCCACAAGGTGACTTTTGAGTCGACTCAGAAGTCTGCCTCACCCACCCCCGCCCCTTCCCCTCTCCTCATCCCCCCTGGCTGTCCCCTCACAGCCACACTGCAGTGGTGGGCAGCGCTGATGGGTAACAACGTGCATGGCATGGGCGCCCACGGCCCTCTCAACACCGACACCGCTCTCGGCCTCTTCCCCTTCGTCTCCATGCTCAACCACTCCTGCCGGTATGCCGCACCCCGCAGTGAATTCAGTTCTTCTTTGGGGCCCATGCTGCATCACTGCGTATCCTGAGTATTGGCTGGCTTTGCACCGACTCCCATGCTATCAGGACATGCAGTGACTTGGACAGTGGGGTGAAGAAGTCTTCTTTGACTTGTGAGATTGCTGTGGGATTGCCAGCTTCCACAAAGGCTCGTCAGGCGGAGTGACTTCAATGGCATTGGGACGTGACCTTGTGTGTGGGGTGTATGTGTGTGCGCATGCGTGCGTGCGTGCATGCTTGTGCATGTGTGTGCATGCAGCCCCAACTGCTGCTTTGCATCGCAGGGCAACACCATGGTGGTGAGGGCAACAAGCCACATCGACAAGGGCACAGAGGTCAGTGAGTGTGCGCCCACTGCTGTGCCTGCGCCTGTGTATGTATCACATGCACTGCACACCACGTCAGCAGAAACTTTCCACTAAATCATGCCACATTGACTTGCCTTCACCATATACACAATGACTCTCATTGGCCACCACTAACCACCACTGACCACCACTGATTACCTCTGCATGCTGCTGTGCTGCACCTCCCTCTCTCCCCCCGCAGCTCTGTGTATCGTACATCAACCTGTACGAGAGCAGGGAGAGCCGGCAGCAGCAGCTGCTGGACTCCAAGCACTTCATCTGTGCGTGCGACAGGTGTTCCGAGCCCCTCGCTCTCTCCTCCGACCGCCTCCTAGAGGTTTGTCCCTTGCTCTCTCTTCTTCTCCCTCCCCTGCTCCCTCTCTTCTGCTGCTCTCTCCCCTCTCCTCCTCTCTCTCCATCTCGCCCACTGAGTTGCACACCTGCTTGCTCCAGTCACTGTTCTCCCCATCTTCACATTTTTTACTCTCTTCATTAATATCCGCATCCTAATCGCCCCACCCACACCAGGGGGTACTGTGTCGCAGCAGCGGCTGCACAGGCACTCTCTATCGCACCTCTCCCCGCCGCTTCCACCCCTCCTCCTCCTCCGCCTCCCCCTCCGCCTCCCCTGCACCTGTCCCCTCCCCTTCTCCCCCCCCACCGTCTGCGAACGAGGGAAGCTTGAGTGAGCGGCAGCAGTGGCAGTGCGACGCGTGTGGTGTGATAGTTGCAGAAGAGGGTCAGGCGGAGGAAGGGGCAGAGGGGAGGGCGGATGAGGGGGAAGAGGCAGGGGATGGGGATGGGGAGGCGGCTGGGGAGGAGGCTGGGTTGGAACCCACTGTTGGAGCAACCAAGGGCACGGGAAAGAGCAAGGGAAAGGGCAAGGGGAAGGGTAAAGGGAAAGGTAAGGGGAAGGGGGGCAAGGGGGGCGAGAGAGAAGGCGGAGGCGGAGGAGGGGGAGGGGGAGCAGGGGGAGGGGGGAAGGGCAAGGGGAGCGGGTGGGGGTCAGGGGGCCCGTGGGAGGTGGAGGGAGCAGCGCGGGCGGCCCTGCAGCAGTGCATGGCGCTGTATGAGAGCCCCCAGCGCGACTCCAAGGCGTGCCTGGCTGCCCTCTCCTCCTTCCAGTCCACCTACTCCAAAACACTGGTACTGACTAACCCTTTGCTGCCCTTGCTGCTGCACCAATGTGCTTCAGTCGCTGGCACCATGTCTCACTTGTTGTAGCTGCACCACTGCTGCTCTCTCCTCCCCACCCTCCCCACACCCCCCACCCGCCCATCCCTCCTCGCAGCACCCGCGGCACGTGCTCCTATTCGACAGCCTGACCCCAGCACTCAACTGTGCGCGCGCCCTCTCGGACTACACACAGGCCATGCGCCATGCACTGGCTCTGGTGGACGGACTCTCCACCGTGGCGCCCTCTGCCGTGCTCGAAGCTGCTAACTTTGCCCATGCTGCTAGCGAGCTTGCTGCGCTGCGTGCTGCCTCTGCTGCTCCCGCGCTCGAGCACCGACTCACCAAACAGGTACGCTGTGGGTGTGGGTTTGTGGGAATGCGGGAGTGTGGGGGTGTAAGATTGTGATATTCTCACTTTCCCATTCGATCTCATGCTAGCCACTTCATCTTGCATGCAAGCCTTTCATTGGTACTTGAGTTTGCTCTCTGCATGCTGTGTATTGTGGGCAGAGTGAGGAGTGGGCGAGCAAGGCAAGGGAGCTGCGTGTTGTTGGACTGGGGCCAGACAATGTAGTCTGACAGCCACGCGACAGTGATCTACTGCACTGCAACCCAGATTAGGGCTCTCGTGTCTCTCAGTGTCAATACGAACTCAATCCTCATGGATGCGCCCTAGGACTAGCCTAGGGCTACCTTCTGCCTCAAAAAGGCTGAGGCTAGGGCTGTTTGAACGGGGTGTGGCGAGGCTCTCAACTAGTGTTGGTTGGACAGAACAAGATTGCACCAGCCATCGCTGTTGTGGATTACTTTCAATCAGCCACCAGTGATTACTTTCATTGCTGTACGACAATCCAACAAAGCCTACTTTGTCCGGGCCGCCGTTGTGTGATGATCGGTTAGAACCTGCGTGTCAAGCTTCCATTACCCACTGCTGTGTCGACCTGTGCCTTGCACTACTATCATACCGTATTCCATTCCCAGCACCAAGTCCACATCTCCGCAATTTAACCTGCGAGGATCAAAACCCACCCATCCATCAATGCACCATCCATTCAACCGAGATACCAGCAGCCAGAAAATCCAGGAGCAACCCCCTGTCTATGGTCCAACACACAGGGCAGCCGTCACTGGGTTTCAATGGCGGCATGCCAGTCGCCCGGCAGCTTTGACAGCAGCGGCAGGTCCCCCCCCACAGCGCGGTCCAGCAGAGCCTCCAGCCCCTCCCCCACGCCCCCCGCATGCACTGCAAACTTGGCGCGCTTGGCACTGATGATGGCCACGGCGGGCGGGGCGGAGATGCCGTGCGGGTCGAGGAAGAGAGCGGCAAAGGTGGGGGCTGCGGTGGTGTCGATCCAGTAGAAGCGCAGGGGGTCCCCATGGTACTTGACGGCTAGCTGCTGCAGCTGGTCCACCTGTGGAGGTGGATAGATATGACCGCATGGATATGCATATGTGTATGGCCATATGTTTGCGGTGCACAGCAAGAACATGACCAAGGGAGTCCATGCTTTGGCAAGACAGTAGCATGAGACCAGCCATGCAAACGGAGTACAAGCACTGGAGTACCGGGAAAAAGGGAAGGAGTAGGGAGGAGAGCAAGAGCAGAGGTGGATTGTGTAGTGGTCAACATGAGTGTCAGCCAGTCACAGCATCACTGCAGCAACCCAGAGGAACCTGCTGGGCGCACCTGAGCAGTGTCATGGCCGCTGAGCAGAGCAATGACGCAGAAGCCTTTCCCCTTCACACACCCCGCCTCCACCTCCATTGCCTGCTTCAACTGCTGCACCCCTGCTGCCTTCCCTGACCCTGACCCCCCACCACTGCTGCTGCTGCTGGTAGGCTTGGAAGAGGAGGAGGAGGGTGAAGACTTGCTGGAGGAACCTGGCTTGGACTTGGGGAGAGCGTACTGGACTCACACATGCACCCAGACACGCACCCACGCATACGCCCAGACATGCACAGCAGGCACAATTGCACATACCAACAACAGCACAGGAGAGAAGTAAGCAGCAGATGCAGAGCATGTGAGTGCGCACGCAGTGTCAGGCGTAGAGGCAAGCGGAAAAGCACATGTAACACTGGAACTGAGTCGTTAATGCAAACAATGGCGAGGAAACGCATGCATTCTGGCACATGGCATGGCAGCAGCGCGTCACCTGCTGCAGGAACTTGAGCAGCGGCTTGTGCTTCAGCTCCCCATCATACCGCGGCACATCGCCCTCACTCTCTCCTCCGCCCTCTCCCTCCTCCCCCTCTTTCAGCGGCAGCACCAGCAAGCTCGGCAGCTGCCCCTGCTTCACGCCATACTGCGCCATGAGCCCCGCCTCCTTGCTGCTGCGCACCTCCCCCAGCGCCATGCGTCCCTTGAGGTCGATGGCGAGGGCTTTGTACAGAGGCGTGGTGGTGGACTTGGCTGTGAAGAGCAGCGCCTTGGGCAGGTGCGCGTTGGCGGAGAGGAAGGTGGGGAGCGAGGAGGAGGAGAGCACGGTCACGAGGTTGGGTAGAGCCGCCACTGCTGCGTCTGACATGGCCTTGGCCGTGCGCGCACCGTTGTACTGAGATTGCGGTGTTGGTGGGAGCGAGGGGAGGGACGACGGGGACGGGGAGTGAGGGGGAGCGAGGGCGAGGGTGGGGGTTGCTTTTGCTCTGAAAGTGTCGAATTGGTGCTTCTCAATAGAAAGAAAGCACGATGATGCATATTGAGACATAAAACACGGGAGAGAGCATGGCATGGCACGGCTTGGCTCACGTCTTCTGGTCGTTTCTTGTTGGCGCCGAAGATCTTGAGCGTGGGGAAGCCGCGGATGCCGAACTCCGACGCGATGGACTTGTGCTCGTCGCAGTTGATCGCGCCGAACCGCACGATGCCCTGATGTATCCATCATGCCATCCCATGGTGCCATGTCACCATGATGGCATGACAGGTTATGTCATGGTACCATGATGCCAGGACGTCGTGCAGAGGGAGGAGCAGCGCGTTGGGGGGGGGGCGTGGGAGGACAGACGAAGCAAGAACGTTCATAGATTGATTAAGAGTGGCGTAGCTCGGGCTGTGTTCGTTGCTGGCGGTGGAAAAGGTTGTACTTGGGACAGGAATGAAGGGAACGAGCACAGGCACACAGCATGGGCGCACTGTGTTAGTGCACTGACCTTGGTGGCGGTGGCTGCCTTGATGTAATCCGGCTTCAGCCTGCACAACGCACCAACTCATCCCACCCGCAACCGCCCCCACAACAACATCATCCCCACACGCGAACATGACAACAAAGCGATGGATGTGAAGGTTCGGAAAGGGAAGTGGGTGCCGCGCGGCGGAACGATCATGGCTAGCAACGCAACGTTTGTTGTGGGTCGAATCCCATCAGCTTCCGTATCGTATTACGCAATAATTCCGGTCAACCAACAGCCGAAACGTAGCGGCAGCACGCGTACCGTTGGCAGTGGCCACACCAGGGCGCGTAGAACTCGATCATCCACACATGATCGTCCTGTACCACCTTGCTGCGGAAGTTGCTCGCCGTCAGCTCGATCACGTCCGTGCCCGCGTAAAAGTCCTGGCCACGCACCACCGCTGCTGACAATGCGGTCGCCGAAGCTACCACGGCGAGCAGCAACCGGTACACGCGCGGAGGGAGGGCCGACTGCCCGGATCGCACCGCCATGGTGGTTATCGTCGCTCAATTGAAGAAACAGAAGTGAGGAAATCGAAGTGGAAATGGTGATGCTTGGATTTGTTGGTCGCTTGTGGAGGCGGATGGGAGATCTGGGGGAAAGGAACGGTTGGGAAATCATCGAGGCTGACGTGGTGCTTCTAGAAAGACAAGATCGAGGACAGCGAGGGTGATCGAACATTCCACGAGAATTACCCAGAAGAATGTGTCGCGCTGCAATATATATGTGTGTCAAAAAAACACTCAACAGAAGGTGAATTCATTTAGGTACACGTTTTCTCTGTCTTCTCTTTCCTTGTCAGACATGCTACCTTTTAGTTACAGAAACTAATCACTTAGCCACATTTGGCTTTGGTACTTGTGGCAACTGCTTTGGAACAGGAAGAGGTGGTAGCAACCCTATCCGGCCTAGAAGCTTTGCAACCGTCTCTGAGGGCTGCGCCCCCACTGACAGCCAGTACCTGTTGGTCAAGGGTTTTACAATGACAGCGTTAGGTAAGAAAGGGTGACTGCGCAAGGTTGGCGAGGAGACAGAACACACAGACTGCAAGCAATGCCTTCAAGGTATCCAGAGTCCATACCCATAATCTAGAAGCAGACCATGAACTTCAGGGCTGACAAAATTACGAGGCAGCACATGTGTTGTGTTTCGCTAGGCCCGCAAGAGTTACGTAGGGCTCTCCGGAAGTGGTAGATGAGAGAGTGGGAAAGGAAAACCTAGGGAGAGACAAAAAGCTTGTGGGACTTCTGTAGGGTTAAGGTGTTGACCGGGCTCGGTAAGCTAAGGAAGGCCAAGCAACAAGGCAAGTTGGAGGTGGAAAAGGCTGACCGTCCAACGAAAACGATGTCAAGTGTGATGGAAAGGGGCAGATAGGCAGGACAAGACACGTTCGGTGAAGACAGAAAGTAAGGGCAACAAGGTGACGCTGACATGCAGCAAAGATAGACAAGCAATGTCACGGTGATTGAGCAATAAAGAATGAGGGATGAGTAAGGATGAACGCGGAAAAGATGGTGCCTCACTTGATGCGTTCAGTGTTGATGCCGATGCGCTTCATTCCGTCCTTGCCTGCACGAGAACCGCGCACACACGCAAGCAATCAGAAGGCACGGAGAAGCACCACGGCAAAGGAAGAATGCTTAGCGGGGAAACAGGAAACACACGCAACTCCATGGGATGAGACCGCGGGTTGACAACCGCGAAACATCTGAGGCAACCCCAAGGTACGAAGAAACTACGGGGATTGGTGATATGCTACGGACCACGTAAATGAGGGCAAGGAAGCCTGACCTGGCAGCGGGTTATAGTGACCGACGCACTCGATATGCCGACCGCCGGTGGGACACCTACTGTCGGCGACATGGATGCGGAAAAACGGGAGGTTCTTACGACCGAACCTCGCAAGCCGAATGCGCGTGACGCCCATACTCGGGTAATTCGAAGGAGCGTCTAGATCGCCGCAGATCTCTCTCCTGCTTGGTCAGGTCGTCGCCGCAAGACACGCACGCAACGAACAGGTGACTGTTCGACCCACGCCCACGAACTGCTGTGGTTCACCGATCTCCGTTTTTGCGTTCTATGCAAAAAGGTACCCGAAGCAAACAAGAATTCTCCTGAAACAGCATGAATAAAAAAAATAACAATTTGATCTTTGTGGTGCCTCATGCTTGAATTATACATTTATATATATATACACTCCTTTACCGCTACAAGAGAAAACAACGACGAAGCAGATGCCGTGCAGTGCACGTCGCTGACATTGCAACAAGAGATGGTTACTACAGCTACCTCCACAACAATTTAGTCCCCTTGTTTCCACTCTCTTGGAATTTAGACTGGAGACCACACTTGCGGACTGCTACCATGGAATTCTATCCGGTTTGCCTGCCTTCAGTCCCTGCTGTTGTCGCCCTCTCCAGTGTTAACTGGTGAAATCTTGCTGTCGATGTTTTCTCTGACTGCCGTCATTTCCTGCTGGCAGTGAATTCTTCTTACCGGTACAGGTGTTAGCAAGTGGGTTTTATAGTCAGGATAACCCTGTGCAGTTTGTGGTAAAAATACATAACACTAATTTCGAAAGGCAGACTCAAGCATGATACAGACAAACGCTTGCTCTGGTACAAACACTGCACACTCTGGCTGACAAAACGTCAGCGGATAAAGTTGGATGCAAACTCGTTTGTGATAATGGTGAGAGCGAAGCCAATAATGAGCGTGAGTGTGACATTGCCACCCGGGACAAGGCGTGGCTGGTCTGTGACTGGGCGGAGAGAGGCGCGATCCACCCATGCCATGGCTGCTGGTAGGATGCCAAACAGTACCAGCACTGCCGGGCGAGACGGGGACAAGGCGGCAGAGAAGAGGTAGAGTGAGTGATGAGGGAGAGGAGGGAATGATGTGGTAGAGGAGGTAGGGAGGAGGAAGAGGAGGAAGATGAGGGAGAGAAGTGGGGAGAGGAGGGAGTGACACAGGAGATGACGGAGAAGCAAGGAGAGGAGGGAGGGAGAAGAGGGAGTGAAGAACCAGAGGAGATAAGGCAGGGAAATAACTGGTAAGCAAGCGCGTGAGTGTTGGAATAAGGCAGTGAAGCACACGGACTCTACCTGGACCAGACCTGAACCTGCACGTGGCCAGAACTAAGGCAGACCAAGCTGAACATCTAGTGACGTGTGTGTGTCTGCCAGTATGTGCACGTGCTCTGTGCCCTCCCCTCTCACGCACCTCCGTATGTGCCTGCAAGGTCGAGAGCTGTAAAGAACAGGTCGGGGTTGGAGAGAGAGAAGGCGAGCGGCGGGGCGAGTGTGAGGATGTACGGCAGAGGGGTGCGCCCCCGACCTGATGGGAGCTTGAGCGCTGGCGGGTGGAGGGGTTGCGGGGTGTGAGGGGGGAGGAGGTGTTAGAAGGAGATGCAAGTGGGGGAGATTGTGCAGTGAGGACGAGAAACGTGGGTGCTGCTGCATGGGGGGGGGGGGGGGGGGCGGGGGGGGATGGGGGGGGGTGCACGAGACAGCTTGTGAGAAGGACAACTAGGGAAAAAAAGAACTTCCGAATGGGACTGTGCAAGGGGACGGAGTGTGGAGAGCAAGTGGACGGGGGAGAGGATGTGAGAGGGCGAGGGCTGTGGTTTGTGCTGGCGTGTGCAGAGGGCTGGGCAGGTACCGTCAGCAAGGAAGTCAGAGAGGCCGAGGATGAAGCCAATGTAGGACGTGGCTATGGCAAAGAAGGAAAACAGCTGCACCGCCCCCTGCAAGTGTGGAGTGGAGAGGGGTGCAATGGAGTGGCGTGAGGTGAGGTTCACAGACTTGGTGCGGACAGAAAGGCAAACTTAGGGCATGGTGAGTAGACGGAATGTGAGAAAGAAGGAGGGTGAGGAGAGAGAAACCAAGTGAACTGGCAGCTACTGTATTACAGATTCATGTCCTGCCTTGCATGGGCAAGCACACTGTGTCACTCACCCAATGAGCCAGTCACCCTGGTGAGCCACTCACCCCTACGGAAGGGTCAATCTGCTGAAGGCGAGCCAGTGGATCCACCACCTTCATAGTTTCCACAGCAGCCACCGCTGCAGACGGCGCCGCAGCAGCAGAAGCTGCAGCATCGGAAGCAATGGTGAGGGCGTCGACGAGTGGTTGGGGAGACGGCGGGAGGGGAGCGGTGCCGAGGATGGCGGCGTCCCAGAGCAGGAACATGAGGAGAGGGAGCGCTGTGCCTGCTAGGATGGCCGTGCGGATGCGCTTTAGGTTGCCCTCTAGGTTCGTTGCCACCACTGGCACCACGTTCTGATGCATGGCACACAGGGGGGGGGAGAGGGGGGACGATGGGTGAAGGGTGGAGAGCATTAAAGAGCACTGTAGAGCATCAAGAGCATCAAAGAAATAGAGCGGCAGCTGTAGACAAGGGATAGGGCGAGGGCACTGGAAAGAAGATCGCATATTATGAAGCACGGAAGGTATGGAAGCAGAAAGAGCACGGAAAGAGCACGAAAGAGCAGCACCTGGTAGACAAAGGAGAGAATGATGATGGGGACGTATTTTTAGGCGCCTCAATCCGCGTGCATTGAGGTGTATTTTGAGGCGCCTGAGAAGGCACGGCAGCGGAAAGAGCAGCACCTGGTAGACAAAGGAGAGGGCGATGATGGGGACGCTGGCGGGGACGGCAGCGATGTTGGCGGCGAGCAGGGCTTGGGGGTGGATGTCAGCGAGGGAGAAGGCGAGCAGGAAGGCGAAGGAGAACACTATTCCCGCCACCAGCATGCCGTTCACTAGCCCTATGGCGCGCTGGCTGCGGTGGGGAACGATGGGGGGGGATCGGGACGAATGGAGAAACGAGAAGAAAAGGGACGAAGTGAAAAGAAGAGAAAGAGAAATGTTCGGACAAAGAAGGTGTGAGAGGGGAGGAGAGAGCTTCGAGAACAAGTGGGCTCTGTGACATTTGAGTATGTATAGTGGGAAGGTGCAAGTGACTAGGCAGGGGAGCAGTGCGGGGGCAAGGGAGTAGCGGCAGGGGTATGGGTCTGAAGGAGGGAGAGAGGGAAAGGTTGAGGGAGAGGGTGAGAGCGCGAGAGAGGGAAAAAGAGAGAGCAGTACCTGCCAAAGTAGCAGAGGGCGCCGAAGGAGAGGGTGAAGAGGGAAGCAGCGAGGCTGTGTGGGAGGGATGCAGCAGCACTGATGATGTCAGCGGAGCGAGAGACATAGGCCGTGATGACTGCATAGTGGATGAGCAGGTACGTGGTGCCTGCCACTCGCACCCCCGCTGTGCCCAACGTGCGCTGTGCCATGGACACCTGGTGGAGGGGCAAGAGGAGGGTGGCAGGCATGGGCAATACGGGCAGTTTGGGTTTAGCTGCACTGTGCCATGGCCACATGGCCAGGTGGCCAGGTGTCATGGATAGAGAGTGAGGGAGGGGAGAACCATGGCAAGGAGAGCGTGGTGGAGGTTCGGATCAGAGGAATACAACGGAGTGGGCCTACCGGGTCATGCTGCACAGCACGGCACGGCAGCTTAATGAGAAACAATGCTGAATGGACATGACAGCAGGACACGGCAGCATGACATGGCAACGTGGGTGGGGGCATGGCAGTGCAGCATGGGTGGGGCATATGAGGTACCAGCGAGACTCCTCCGGACCCGAGCTCGCACATGGTGTTCACGTTGACCTCTGCTATCAGCATGCCCGTCGCCAACTGGTGGGTGGGTGCAGGGCATGGCGCGGCATGGAAAGGATTGGATTGCATAGAAGACGCTCAGATCAGGCAGAAGAGGGCGGGAGAGATGCGAAAGTGGGAGTGGAGTGGAAGACAAGGGTCGGTTAGAAACGATCGTTGAACCATGCGCAGCTGCCTAAGTAAGAGGTGGTGCTGCGTGGCTGTCGCATGCATGGCAGGCGTGCAGTGGGCGGGCGTGCAGCGGGCGGGCGTGCAGTGGGCGGGCGTGCAGCGGGCGGGCGTGCAGTGGGCGGGCGTGCAGCGGGCGGGCGGGGAAGCCCACCATGTAGAGCCAGCAGACGATGCAGGTGGCGCAGGAGGGCAGGAAGCCCGCCTCGCTCGTCACTGCTGGCAGCGCCAATATGCCCGCCCCCACCTGCCGGGAGGACAGGGGGGAGAAGGGGGAGAGAGGAGCACAGGGGAGAAGAGGAGCAGGGGTAAGGAGGAGAGGTGGAGCAGGAGGAAAAGGGCAAGGGCCGAGGGGGAGATGGTAGAGAGGTAAGGGGGAGAGTGGGAGAGGAGCATGAGGGACGGGAGTGAGGAAAAGGGGGGATGATATAAAGAAAGATGGTTCAGAGCGAGAATGGGAAAGGAGTGGAGTGGTGGAGGGAGTGGTGGAGGGAATGGCAGAGTACCGTGGTACCGGCGACGAGGAGAGTGGAGCTGACGAGACTGCCTGCCATGCGCACAGGTGCATGCCCATGGGGGCCGTGTGGTGGTGCGTGGGAGGGAGGGAGGGAGTGGGGAGGAGCGAAAGTGGGAGCGATGGGAGAGTGGTGAGTGTGGCATGGGCATGCGCATGGGCGTGGGCATGCGCATGGGCGTGGGCATGCGCATGGGCGTGGGCATGCGCATGGGCGTGGGCATGCGCATGGGCGTGGGCATGCGCATGGGCGTGGGCATGCGCATGGGCGTGGGCATGCGCATGGGCGTGGGCATGCGCATGGGCGTGGGCATGCACATGGGCGTGGGCATGCGCATGGGCGTGGGCATGCGCATGGGCGTGGGCATGCGCATGGGCGTGGGCATGCGCATGGGCGTGGGCATGCGCATGGGCGTGGGCATGCGCATGGGCGTGGGCATGCGCATGGGCGTGGGCATGCGCATGGGCGTGGGCATGCGCATGGGCGTGGGCATGCGCATGGGCGTGGGCATGCGCATGGGCGTGGGCATGCGCATGGGCGTGGGCATGCGCATGGGCGTGGGCATGCGCATGGGCGTGGGCATGCGCATGGGCGTGGGCATGCGCATGGGCGTGGGCATGCGCATGGGCGTGGGCATGCGCATGGGCGTGGGCATGCGCATGGGCGTGGGCATGCACATGGGCGTGGGCATGCGCATGGGCGTGGGCATGCGCATGGGCGTGGGCATGCGCATGGGCGTGGGCATGCGCATGGGCGTGGGCATGCGCATGGGCGTGGGCATGCGCATGGGCGTGGGCATGCGCATGGGCGTGGGCATGCGCATGGGCGTGGGCATGCGCATGGGCGTGGGCATGCGCATGGGCGTGGGCATGCGCATGGGCGTGGGCATGCGCATGGGCGTGGGCATGCGCATGGGCGTGGGCATGCGCATGGGCGTGGGCATGCGCATGGGCGTGGGCATGCGCATGGGCGTGGGCATGCGCATGGGCGTGGGCATGCGCATGGGCGTGGGCATGCGCATGGGCGTGGGCATGCGCATGGGCGTGGGCATGCGCATGGGCGTGGGCATGCGCATGGGCGTGGGCATGCGCATGGGCGTGGGCATGCGCATGGGCGTGGGCATGCGCATGGGCGTGGGCATGCGCATGGGCGTGGGCATGCACATGGGCGTGGGCATGCGCATGGGCGTGGGCATGCGCATGGGCGTGGGCATGCGCATGGGCGTGGGCATGCGCATGGGCGTGGGCATGCGCATGGGCGTGGGCATGCGCATGGGCGTGGGCATGCGCATGGGCGTGGGCATGCGCATGGGCGTGGGCATGCGCATGGGCGTGGGCATGCGCATGGGCGTGGGCATGCGCATGGGCGTGGGCATGCGCATGGGCGTGGGCATGCGCATGGGCGTGGGCATGCGCATGGGCGTGGGCATGCGCATGGGCGTGGGCATGCGCATGGGCGTGGGCATGCGCATGGGCGTGGGCATGCGCATGGGCGTGGGCATGCGCATGGGCGTGGGCATGCGCATGGGCGTGGGCATGCGCATGGGCGTGGGCATGCGCATGGGCGTGGGCATGCGCATGGGCGTGGGCATGCGCATGGGCGTGGGCATGCGCATGGGCGTGGGCATGCGCATGGGCGTGGGCATGCGCATGGGCGTGGGCATGCGCATGGGCGTGGGCATGCGCATGGGCGTGGGCATGGGCGTGGGCATGCGCATGCGCATGGGCATGGGCGTGGGCATGCGCATGCGCATGGGCATGGGCGTGGGCATGCGCATGCGCATGGGCATGGGCGTGGGCGTGGGCATGCGCATGGGACGAACAGAAGCACTCATGTGTCTAGTCTTTGAAGCCTTGAAGCACCTCAAGTGACTCATGAACGAGTGAGTGGAGACGAGGAAGGAAGATAAAGACACAGAGCAAAAGCACCACTGGATACCGATCTCATGCTCTTTGCTTCCGCAATGGCACTCCAGGCACTCGCCTCACCTGGTTCATGCGCCATGTTCACTTCATTCAGGTTCGAAAACAGCCGCTCGTATTCCTGCTTCTTCCCCTGCTGCCACCCCCCATCCCCCCTCTCGCCCATCAGCCCCTCCCGCTCCCCTTCCTCCCCTTCTTCCGCGCGATCCCCTCTCCATCTCCACATCCCGCCCCCGCCCCCTCTCTTCCCCGTTCCCTCTTTCTCCCGTTCCCCATCCCTCCCGCTATTGGCACCCGATGGGGCACTGGCGGAGGTTAGGGGGAGAGGGGAGACGAGGGGGGAGGGGGACGGGGGCTGCAGATGCTGTGACGAGCGGCGCACGTCTGGAGCTGAATGGCGATGGGCGGTTGGGGAATTGAGGAAGAGGGGATGAGAGGGGGAGGGGGAGGGGGAGGGAGAAAGGGGGGAAGTGGGCATGGGGGAAGGGAGGGGGAAGGGCAGGGATGGGAAGGTAAGGTACTGGGTAGGGGTGCAAAGAGCGCACGCGAGAATGAGAGGAGAACAAGCAGGAGCATGCATGGACGCAGTCCTAAAAAGACCAGCTCTCATGGCACGCCTTTCATGAAATGACCTCAGAAACTTTGACAGGCTGCATCCATGCACCTCACCTTCCTCTTCATCCCGCGCGGGTTCTCCGCTTCTTTCCGCCATCGCCAGCACCGTCTCGCTCCGCCTCGTGCCCCCGCCTGCGCGCCTCTCCGCGGGTTTCGCGCTCGCGGGCCCCCCGCCCTTGCCCGCGCCGACTCCGCCAGCGCCCAGCCATGCGCGCATGCCCCGCGAGGCCACGCGCTGCCACGCTGCATCGGACATTCGCACGGCCCGACAGGGTGGCAGGCGATGACGTGGCGGGGGATAAGCCGCTGAATGCGGTGGCAGGGAGTGGGGAGGGGTGAGAGGGGGTGGAGAAGGGAGGAGCGAGTTAAAGGAAAAGAAAAGGAAGAAATGAACGGGGAAAAAAAAACGCATGTTTACCTCAAGCGCTAGAAAAACAGCCCCAGATAACGTACGCGTTACAAGGCGTACGGATGGGGAGGACAACATCGCATCTCTGGGGAATCTGCCAGAAACAGCGGAAGTACAGCCACTAACGCCCTAACGGAAGCGACGCTCAGATAAAAATACGCGAAGCCGAACACTACGGTGATGAATACGAGTCGCCGTCAGCCTGAAAGGAATGGGAGAATACTATTGTTGAAAAAATTCAGGCTGGAGACTGGAAAACGATCCGCCCACAGCCGATTTGGAGGTTGGGGGAATTTCTGGGGCTAGAATTTCGCAAAAGCGACGGTCAGCGAGCGATCCGCGATGTGGCTCGTGCGTTCGCCAAACACGTGGCCTCAGTGTGGCAGGTGAGCGAAAGTCGGCACTGACACGACAGATCGCGAACATTCGGCGACAGTTACTGCACCTGTGGTGTCCTCACTCCCAACCAGGATTCGCTTTTCGTACTAGTAATGCGAAAATCAGCTGCATTTCCAACTCCTATAAAATATCCTTGTGAAACCTTTTCTGCATCAATTGGAAGGATGGAATTGTGGGGCGGAGGGGAAGGGGGCCAATCTCGCGGCCACCACATGTACATCAACAAGCTCTTTGCCACCCACCCATCCACTTGTCGACTACTTTCGCAGCTTCAACTGCCTCCAGCACTCTCCTCTGCGGACCCGCACATCCATCCTACTTCGCCGCGCGTGTCGCGTGTCGCCTCAAGCCTTTGCCATTCAGTGCGCAGAACCTGAGGCGTAGGCCCCTAAGAGATCCGCCTTTCACGACGTACGGTTCCCTCCCTCACAGCTCCGCGATGCACGGAACCGGAGAGGACTGTTGCTGCAGCGACGCATGGAGGTAGTGATTAAGTGATTAATTTTGCAGCGATGGGATTGATGGGAGCGATGGTGATGGGAGTGACGGAGTGACTAACGAGCGAGTCGACGATGGGGGATGGCGGGTTGACGCGGAGCATCATCCGTTAAAGCGGCTTCGCCGCGTGCGCTAGTCGTTGCGTTCCGGACGGTCACGCGGGAATTCTGTGAACTAGCGTGCAGGGGAATTTTGTAGTGCAGTGCGGCTGTGAGGCTCGGCGCGCAGCTTTCGAGGCTCGGCGTGTCATTACGCGCTCCCGGTGCTCCTGCGCCTGCCGTTACTGCGGCGGTGCGTGTGATAGCGTGATTCTCCCACTCTGCTGCGCGCCGAGCGGCCATGGAGGCGGCGGCGCTGCTGCAGAGCGTGGAAGCGGCGTGCAACGACCTGCAGGTTGGCTTCCCGCTCCAGCCGCCTCGCTGCTTGCTTGTGCGGTTTCCTTTTTGCTCAGCTAGGAGAAGGAGAAGGATAGGTAGGAAAGGATGGTGCGTGCTTTGTGAACAGCTAAGAGGCCGATAGGGGTTGATAGGGGCTGATAGGGTGTTGATATGAGGATGAGTTCACGCGCACGGTGATTGCATAGGGACATGCATTCTAATACCACGTGGCGTGGCGTGACCTGATGGCGCCTGGTATGGGATGGTATGGGGTGGTATGGGGCATGGTGTATGGTGTATGGTGTATGGTGGCTCGTCATGGCATGGCATGGCATGGCATGGCGTGATATGGGACGTTACGGCAGGTTCCCGAGAGGAGGGCAGCTGCGGAGGCAACGCTGCTGGAGCTGAGGAAATCGCCCCATGCATTGCAAGCCTGCACTCACATACTCGGTACTTACCTGTGCTCGCATGTGTACACATGCATGCACACATACATCCACACACATCCTCATACATGCATGCATGCATACCTCCACTCACGTAGGTCCACATGCACTCTCAATCCCAAACCCAAACCCTGCATAGAACCTAACCCCTCACTCGCTCGCGTCCTTACACTCCCCCTTCTTACCCTCCCACGCCCTCCCTCGTTCTCCCTCTCCGGCGGGCAGACAACTCGGGCAATGCAGTGGCATGCTTCCAGGCAGCAGCCACGCTGCAGCAGGTGGTGCTGCGCGACTGGCCCCGCATCCCCACCGCCGACCACACCTCGCTGCACCGGTACGCACTGTACTGCACCTGGGTGATCCGTTGTTCAAAGTGATTTTTGAGGCGACTCTTAGGGCACCGGTGCACTGCAGCACCCTTGTAGTCACTCGTTCTAGTCCCACCAGCAGTTTCATGGCACTTCCATCAACAGGCTCATGCCAGCCAGTCTCACTCGCCAGCCTTGTATACGCATTCCTCACGTGCTCCTGTGTATGCATGCTGCGCCACCCGCCATTCATGCCATTCAACTGGTCCTCTCCTGCTCTTCACCACACTGCACGTATCACATCACATTCCTTTGCAAGAAAAGTCTCAACGACACCCATCACATCACACCACGTGCTGTGCTGTGCGGTGCTGTGCGGTGCTGTGCGGCAGGTACTGCTTGGACCACATAGTGAAGCGGGCCATAGCGAGGGAGGAGGCGCAGGGGCAGGCTGGGGGAGGAGCAGGGGGAGCGGGAGGGGGTGGGGGAGGCGATGCGTTTGTGGAGCAGAAGATGGTGGCTGTGCTGGCAGTGCTCGTTAAGAGAGCCTGGTATGTGCCCTGGCCTGCTCTGCCCTGCCCTTCCCTCTCCTGCCCTGCGCTGCCCTGCCCTGCTCTTCGCTGCTGTACCATGCCATGCCATGTCATGCCGTGTCATCGCATGTGCTTATCTATGTGTGAACCTCTTTGTCTGTGCATGCAAACCTGCAGGATGGATGTGGACGACACCTACACGACCGATCTCTTCTCCTCCGTACGTCTTCATGCCCACGCATGCACCGGCCTCTCCCCTCCCCATCACCCTAAACCGCTGTCTCGTGCTGCCTGCCTGCATGCCAAGGCATGGCCAGCTTCCTCCTTAAAACTCCAGCAGTCCCAATTTGGGAATTCGCCATTTCATTTCCCAGATCAAGAGTACCAGTGTATGGCTCTACGTCTCTCTGCGTCCCCAGTCCCGTGTGTGTCTTGCAATGCTCTATCCCCATGCCTCCCACCCACCCTCTTTGCGTCCACCCGTGCCCCCCATCAGTTGAGAGAGCTGGCGTCAGGGTCAAGAGGCCCTGCCGTGCAGCGAGCTGCGTTCTCTCTGCTCGACGCCCTTGTCAGTTGTTTCTCTCACCGTGCCGTGCCATGTCCTTCCTGCCTGACCATGCTATGCCATGCCATGTCATGCGGTACCATGCGCTCATCTCATGCTTTCATGACATGCTACTCTAGGTTCCCCTGTTCTTGCTCAATGGAGAGTGCTTTCTTCATCTCTATAAACCTCTGCATCCATCCCAATCCCTCCACTTCTCATTATCACCTCTCTGTGTGTCACCTTTGAGAACCCTTTAACTCAACTTGTAGCTTTTCCAGCTGTTTCCCTGTCTCGTCTATCCCCCTTCTCGCCAATTCCCCCACCCCCCCCCCGAAACCGCCCTTCTCTTCCCTTTCACCCTTCCGTCCCGCATGCCCTTGTGACAGGTGAGTGAGTTCAACCCGGCCAGTGCAACGCCGCTGGCCTTGCCCTCTGACTTCCACAACCGCTGCCGCATCGCCTTCCAGCGCCACTTCCTCATGGTATGTGCGTGCATGCGTGCGTGCGTGCATGGGTGTGTGTGTTGTTAGAATCCTGTGAAGGATGACCTGAGAACTGAAAGAAGTTGATGATTGATTGAGGAGGATGGGGGTATACATAGGAAGTGGGTTGGATACTAGCCTAGGTGAGCATTATTGGACCCCAACCAAGAAGTTGGGTTGGGAGATTATTGGTGGGGTCCAATAATGTTGGCCAAGTTGGAGTTGGGCCAACATTATTGGAGGGGACCAATAATTCTACCCAACCCAACCTTTGGGGTCCAATAATTGGACCAAGGTTGGGTTCCAACCTACAAACTGGGTTACTCCTGTTTGTACACCCAAACTAAGTTTGGGTGCTTAACTCTAGACAAGCGAACTAGCATATGCAGGATGAATAGAATAGAGGTTTTCTAACACAACCCCTCAGCCTGCATAGGGCTAGGAGGCTTGAATGAGAGACGGGGCAACCCCTGAAGCATGAACGCGATGCCAGGCAGAGAAGCTGAAGGAAAGGGGCTTGCGGCGTGAAGTCCATCTGCGAGCCGGGGGGGAGAGAAGGGGGGGGACCTGCTGACGGTGGCCAGCCGAAGGGGTAGTGGCGAAGGGAGAAGGCGGCGGCAGCGGGAGGGCTGCGACGACGAAGGGGGACGACGGCGGCAGCGGGAGAGCTGCGGCTGCGAAGGGGAACGGCGGCGGCAAGAGGGCGGCGGCCCTTAAGAGGGCGGCGGATGGCCCTTAGGAGGAGGAAGCGAGGGGGAAGGGGGCGGGATGGCCCTTAGGAGGAGGAAGCGAGGGGGAAGGAGGGCGGGATGGCCCTTAAGGAGGAGGAAGCGAGGGGGAAGGAGGGCGGGATGGCCCTTAAGGAGGAGGAAGCGAGGGGGAAGGAGGGCGGGATGGCCCTTAAGGAGGAGGAAGCGAGGGGGAAGGAGGGCGGGATGGCCCTTAAGGAGGAGGAAGCGAGGGGGAAGGAGGGCGGGATGGCCCTTAAGGAGGAGGAAGCGAGGGGGAAGGAGGGCGGGATGGCCCTTAGGAGGAGGAAGCGAGGGGGAAGGAGGGCGGGATGGCCCTTAAGGAGGAGGAAGCGAGGGGGAAGGAGGGCGGGATGGCCCTTAAGGAGGAGGAAGCGAGGGGGAAGGAGGGCGGGATGGCCCTTAAGGAGGAGGAAGCGAGGGGGAAGGAGGGCGGGATGGCCCTTAAGGAGGAGGAAGCGAGGGGGAAGGAGGGCGGGATGGCCCTTAAGGAGGAGGAAGCGAGGGGGAAGGAGGGCGGGATGGCCCTTAGGAGGAGGAAGCGAGGGGGAAGGAGGGCGGGATGGCCCTTAGGAGGAGGAAGCGAGGGGGAAGGAGGGCGGGATGGCCCTTAAGGAGGAGGAAGCGAGGGGGAAGGAGGGCGGGATGGCCCTTAAGGAGGAGGAAGCGAGGGGGAAGGAGGGCGGGATGGCCCTTAGGAGGAGGAAGCGAGGGGGAAGGAGGGCGGGATGGCCCTTAGGAGGAGGAAGCGAGGGGGGAGGAGGGCGGGATGGCCCTTAGGAGGAGAAGCGAGGGGGAAGGAGGGCGGGATGGCCCTTAAGGAGGAGGAAGCGAGGGGGAAGGAGGGCGGGATGGCCCTTAAGGAGGAGGAAGCGAGGGGGAAGGAGGGCGGGATGGCCCTTAAGGAGGAGGAAGCGAGGGGGAAGGAGGGCGGGATGGCCCTTAAGGAGGAGGAAGCGAGGGGGAAGGAGGGCGGGATGGCCCTTAGGAGGAGGAAGCGAGGGGGAGGAGGGCGGGATGGCCCTTAAGGAGGAGGAAGCGAGGGGGAAGGAGGGCGGGATGGCCCTTAAGGAGGAGGAAGCGAGGGGGAAGGAGGGCGGGATGGCCCTTAAGGAGGAGGAAGCGAGGGGGAAGGAGGGCGGGATGGCCCTTAGGAGGAGGAAGCGAGGGGGGAGGAGGGCGGGATGGCCCTTAGGAGGAGGAAGCGAGGGGGAAGGAGGGCGGGATGGCCCTTAGGAGGAGGAAGCGAGGGGGAAAAGGGCGGGATGGCCCTTAAGGAGGAGGAAGCGAGGGGGAAGGAGGGCGGGATGGCCCTTAAGGAGGAGGAAGCGAGGGGGAAGGAGGGCGGGATGGCCCTTAAGGAGGAGGAAGCGAGGGGGAAGGAGGGCGGGATGGCCCTTAGGAGGAGGAAGCGAGGGGGAGGAGGGCGGGATGGCCCTTAAGGAGGAGGAAGCGAGGGGGAAGGAGGGCGGGATGGCCCTTAAGGAGGAGGAAGCGAGGGGGAAGGAGGGCGGGATGGCCCTTAAGGAGGAGGAAGCGAGGGGGAAGGAGGGCGGGATGGCCCTTAAGGAGGAGGAAGCGAGGGGGAAGGAGGGCGGGATGGCCCTTAAGGAGGAGGAAGCGAGGGGGAAGGAGGGCGGGATGGCCCTTAGGAGGAGGAAGCGAGGGGGGAGGAGGGCGGGATGGCCCTTAGGAGGAGGAAGCGAGGGGGAAGGAGGGCGGGATGGCCCTTAGGAGGAGGAAGCGAGGGGGAAAAGGGCGGGATGGCCCTTAAGGAGGAGGAAGCGAGGGGGAAGGAGGGCGGGATGGCCCTTAAGGAGGAGGAAGCGAGGGGGAAGGAGGGCGGGATGGCCCTTAAGGAGGAGGAAGCGAGGGGGAAGGAGGGCGGGATGGCCCTTAGGAGGAGGAAGCGAGGGGGGAGGAGGGCGGGATGGCCCTTAAGGAGGAGGAAGCGAGGGGGAAGGAGGGCGGGATGGCCCTTAAGGAGGAGGAAGCGAGGGGGAAGGAGGGCGAGATGGCCCTTAAGGAGGAGGAAGCGAGGGGGAAGGAGGGCGGGATGGCCCTTAGGAGGAGGAAGCGAGGGGGGAGGAGGGCGGGATGGCCCTTAGGAGGAGAAAACGAGGGGAAGGAGGGCGGGATGGCCTTTAAGGAGGAGGAAACGAGGGGGGAGGAGGGCGGGATGGCCCTTTAGGAGGAGGAAGCGAGGGGGAAGGGGGGCGGGATGGCCCTTAAGGAGGAGGAAACGAGGGGGGAGGAGGGGGGGATGGCCCTTAGGAGGAGGAAGCGAGGGGGGAGGAGGGCGGGATGGCCCTTAAGAGGAGGAATCGAGGGGGGGAAGGAGGGCGGGATGGCCCTTAGGAGGTGGAAGCGAGGGGGAAGGAGGGCGGGATGGCCCTTAGTAGGAGGAAGCGAGGGGGGGGAGGGCGGGATGGCCCTTAGGAGGAGGAAGCGAGGGGGAAGGAGGGCGTGATGGCCCTTAAGGAGGAGGAAACGAGGGGAAGGAGGGCGGGATGGCCCTTAAGGAGGAGGAAACGAGGGGGGGGAGGAGGGCGGGATGGCCCTTAGGAGGAGGAAACGAGGGGGGGGAGGAGGGCGGGATGGCCCTTAGGAGGAGGAAGCGAGGGGGAAGGAGGGCGGGATGGCCCTTAGGAGGAGGAAGCGAGGGGGAAGGAGGGCGGGATGGCCCTTAAGAGGAGGAAACGAGGGGGGGAAGGAGGGCGGGATGGTCCTTAGGAGGTGGAAGCGAGGGGGAAGGAGGGCGGGATGGCCCTTTAGGAGGAGGAAGCAAGGGCGAAGGAGGGCAGGATGGCCCTTAGGAGGAGGAAGCGAGGGGGAAGGAGGGCGGGATGGCCCTTAAGGAGGAGGAAGAGAGGGGGAAGGAGGGCGGAATGGCCCTTAGGAGGAGGAAGCGAGGGGGAAGGGGGGCGGGATGGCCCTTAGGAGGTGGAAGCGAGGGGGAAGGAGGGCGGGATGGCCCTTAGGAGGAGGAAGCGAGGGGGAAGGAGGGCGGGATGGCCCGTAAGGAGGAGGAAACGGGGGGGGAGGAGGGTGGGATGGCCCTTAAGGAGGAGGAAGCGAGGGGGAAGGAGGGCGGGATGGCCCTTAGAAGGAGGAAGCGAGGGGGAAGGAGGGCGGGATGGCCTTTAAGAGGAGGAAACGAGGGGGAAGGAGGGCGAGATGGCCCTGAGGAGGAGGAAGCGAGGGGGAAGGAGGGCGGGATGGCCCTTAAGGAGGAGGAAGCGAGGGGGAAGGGAGGGCAGGATGGCGGCGGAATGGCCGCGGCGGCGAGGGGAGGAGGCGGCGGCGGCGGAATGGCCGCGGCTTGGGGAAGGCGCAGGCGGCGGCGATGTTACGGCCGCGGCGGCGAAGAGCGCGAGAGTGGAGGCGACGGGAGCGGGGCGCCGTTAGGCGCGAGGGCGGAGGCGACGGGAGCGGGGCGCCGTTAGGCGCGAGGGCGGAGGCGACGGGAGCGGGGCGCCGTTAGGCGCGAGGGCGGAGGCGACGGGAGCGGGGCGCCGTTAGGCGCGAGGGCGGAGGCGACGGGAGCGGGGCGCCGTTAGGCGCGAGGGCGGAGGCGACGGGAGCGGGGCGCCGTTAGGCGCGAGGGCGGAGGCGACGGGAGCGGGGCGCCGTTAGGCGCGAGCAGGGTTAAAAAAAACGACCGTTTTTTTGAAAATTTACCGTAAAAAACGGTATCGTAAAAAACGGTCGTAAAAAACGGTTTAAAACGGTTCCAGGAGGTGTTTCCTGTTTAACTAACTAAACGGTCACCTAGTGGGACCAAATTGAACCCGAAAAGGAGCAGCATGAAGGGGACGGACCCCTTTTTGCATGTATGCATTTGTTGGCATGATTGAAAATGTTTTTGACCTTGTTTTTCTATTTTTTTCCTTGGCGAACAGAGTTCTCTAACAAAAAAACGGCCGTATTTTTGAAAAATCACCGTAAAAAACGACCGTAAAAAACGGACCGTATTTTACGAAAACCGTAATTTTAAACCTTGGGCACGAGGGCGGAGGCGACGGGAGCGGGGCGCCGTTAGGCGCGAGGGCGGAGGCGACGGGAGCGGGGCGCCGTTAGGCGCGAGGGCGGAGGCGACGGGAGCGGGGCGCCGTTAGGCGCGAGGGCGGAGGCGACGGGAGCGGGGCGCCGTTAGGCGCGAGGGCGGAGGCGACGGGAGCGGGGCGCCGTTAGGCGCGAGGGCGGAGGCGACGGGAGCGGGGCGCCGTTAGGCGCGAGGGCGGAGGCGACGGGAGCGGGGCGCCGTTAGGCGCGAGGGCGGAGGCGACGGGAGCGGGGCGCCGTTAGGCGCGAGGGCGGAGGCGACGGGAGCGGGGCGCCGTTAGGCGCGAGGGCGGAGGCGACGGGAGCGGGGCGCCGTTAGGCGCGAGGGCGGAGGCGACGGGAGCGGGGCGCCGTTAGGCGCGAGGGCGGAAGCGACGGGAGCGGGGCGCCATTAGGTGCAAGGGCGGAGGCGAAGGGAGAGGGGCGCTGTTAGGCGCGAGGGCGAAATTGACGGGAGCGGACGGAGGGCGCCGAAATCGCCTTAAAATTGGGTCCGCGCGGCTGCTGGTCGCGACGGCCTCGATGGTCGTGATTCGGCGGACGGCACCTGAAACCGCCGCGAAATCGCGTGGAAGTACACGCAGGACACATGGTCCTAGGATCTTGAGGGGCGTGAGCCAAAATGCTCTGACACCAGGTTAGAATCCTGTGAAGGATGACCTGAGAACTGAAGAAGTTGATGATTGATTGAGGAGGATGGGGGTATACATAGGAAGTGGGTTGGATACTAGCCTAGGTGAGCATTATTGGACCCCAACCAAGAAGTTGGGTTGGGAGATTATTGGTGGGGTCCAATAATGTTGGCCAAGTTGGGGTTGGGCCAACATTATTGGAGGGGACCAATAATTCTACCCAACCCAACCTTTGGGGTCCAATAATTGGACCAAGGTTGGGTTCCAACCTACAAACTGGGTTACTCCTGTTTGTACACCCAAACTAAGTTTGGGTGCTTAACTCTAGACAAGCGAACTAGCATATGCAGGATGAATAGAATAGAGGTTTTCTAACATGTGTGTGTTTGGGGGGGGGGGGAAGGGGGTGTGTTCGCAAAAGCAGTTCCAATATACAGAGCGTGTGTGTGTGCGCGTTACTCTCTCCTCCCTCACTGCTCTCCAGCTCCGCACATTCCACCGCATTCTCAAGAATACCCACCCATCTTCACGCTTCCCCCACGCTCGCCCCACGCTCGCATCCCTCCCCAGGCAGTGCTGATGGTGTGTGTGGACGCAGTAGCAGCGCACATGGCAGCAGTCAAGGCACAGGTTGAGGCCACTCAGGGGCACGCGCAGGGGCAAGGGCAGGTGCAGGCGCAGGGAGGAGCGGTGGTGTGGGCGGGCAGCAGTCAGGCAGTGGTGGCAGCGGCGCTGAATGTGCTCATCGCGGTGCTCTCCTGGGACTTCACTGGCAGTCAGTCTCTCTCTGCCCATCGCCCTGCCCTTCTCCCCTTGGCGCCTCTGCTTTCCTCTGTCCCCCTTCCTCCCCTCCCCCATTCCACAACTCACCCCCTTCCCCCCCCGCCCCCCCTGGCGTTCCCCACGCCCTTCATTGTTTTCCCTTTTGGCCGCACCACCGCACGTCGTCTGTTGTACAAGACGCAACAACACACACACATGCATCCGGTTCGCACACTCCTTCAAGCATGTGTATCTGGATGCGCATTCCCCTAATGCAACCACATGCACATGGCACATGGCACGCACATGGCATGCACGCATGTGGCAGGCAGTGTGCGTGCATCAAGAAGCAAGGCCAGTGACGATGCCTCTCTCTCCACTGCTCGCTCCTCCTCTGATATGCACACCGTGCAGGTAACGCACGCACGCACGCACGCACGCACGCACGCACGCACGCACGCACGCACGCACGCACGCACGCACGCACGCACGCACACACACACACTGTTTCTCACCTTTCTGCTTCTCACCACTCTCTTTTTGAGGCGTCTCAACGAAATCCCTCTTGGACGTGCAATCCATGCAGGTCGATTTGGCCTGGGGCTTGTGAGACTTGCCCGTAATTTGCATCTCATTGCATCTCACCTCACTGCTCATCCATCCCTCTCCACGTGACACGCCCACAGCCGCCTGCTGAGTGGCTGCCGTTGCTGCTATCACCGGAGCTGCTATCTCTGCTGGCGTCCGTGTACGCAGCGCTGCCACACACGTGTGCGCCGGGGCACGACTGGCGCGAGGGACCCCTGGCAGAGCGCACCAGACAGCTGGCCGTGCTGCTCTGCTCCCTGCATGGCCCCGCCCTCACTGCTGCTGGTGACGTGCCGTTCCATGTGATGCCTTGCCCTGCCATGCCATGCTGTGCTGTGCTGTGCCGTGCCGTGCCGTGCCGTGCCGTGCCGTGCTGTGCCGTGCCGTGCCATACCATGCCATGCCGCATGCATGCCATGTCATGCCACGCCATCTCACATTACGCTTTCTCTCATGCCACGATAAGCTTTCCGTGCCTTGCTAGAGGCACCTAAACAATAGTTCCCAAAGCCCCCCCGTCCTCTCTCCTTCCTCCCATTGCACCCCCAGACCCATCCCTGGTGAGCATGCACGTGGGTCGCCTGCTCTCCCTGCTGCTGCAGTGGCTCTCCCCCCTGCCCGCCACTGTCGCTGCTGTTGCTCAGGCGCACATCTCAGACAGGTGCGGCATGGGACAGAGGGGGTGTGAAGAAGGAGAACGTGTACTATGCAGTGCTGCACTGGTGCTGTGTTGACCAAGGACGGCTTCTTGCTCACTTGTTGATTTGCCTCTCTTATTAGTCGCAGATTGCTTCAGATGTTGATTGATCCCTTTGTGTCTTGATTAATTCATGATGCACTTTTTTCGTTTTAATGTGCTCATGCCACTCTATCTCCTCCATCCATCCATCCATCCTCGCATCCCTTAAATACAGGGAGCTCCTGGACTTGTGTAGGGCACTGGCGGCGCTCATTCGCTTGCATCCACTGCTCGCCACCACCCCCGCACCGTCCGCACACGGCAACGCCAATGGCTCTGCCAATGGGTGCTCCTCCACCCTTCTTTCTCCCCACTCGTGCCTAGCCAAACGTGCCTGCTGTGTGCTTTGTCTTTGCTGGTCCTATTCACCTCACATTGCCCGCTCACAGTAGTACGACTAGTAGTAGAAGTGTCGGTGCCATGTGTGTTTTGACCCTGATTCAATCGTCTCATTCTTCCCTGTGACTTACAATTTTCATCTCCCATCCTAGCACCCTACCACCTCTCACCCTTCTCATCCTCGCACCTTCCCATCCTCACAACCCTGCCACCCACAGCCCGTCCTGTCCCCCCACGCTGCTGGGGCTGTTGGGCGAGCTGACCTGTGCAGTGCTAGCGCACGGAGCAGCCAGTGACGACGACACTCTAGACGGCCCCATGCCCCGTGCCCTAGACATGCTGCTCGACACCTGGCTCGCCTTCCTCCTCACTGTACGTTCTTTCTGGGGCGCCTCAAAATCCGCGTGCATTGAGGTGTATTTTGAGGCGCCTCAAAATAGCAGCCAGTGACGACGACACTCTAGACGGCCCCATGCCCCGTGCCCTAGACATGCTGCTCGACACCTGGCTCGCCTTCCTCCTCACTGTACGTTCATTCTTTGAGACGTCTCAAAAGTCCCTCTAGACGTGCTGCTCCACACCTGGCTTGCTTTCCTCCTCACTGTACCATACCACCCTTCTTTCTGCCTTGTTTTTACTTTCTGTCCCTTTTTTCTGTTACTTCATGAGTTGTTTAGCTGGACAATTGGCTGAGGCCCTGGTTCTCCTTTCCTCCTTGCTGAATGGTAATCCCTGAACCTACACTATCCTCCTGTACCCACGCCCTTGCAGCTAGAGTCACGCATCTCTTGCCACGTCATCTCACAGCCAGCTTCGGCACCACACCAGCAAGCAGCAGCAGCGGCAGCAGCAGCGGAGTGGTCGCAGCTTATGCATGCGGTGGCGCCCGTCGCAGCACAGGCCTTCCGCTCCTTCACCCAACACCACCTGCAAGGTAAGGTGCTTCTTATGGCACCACCTGCAAGGAGCCTTTGAGATTCTTCAAAAGAATCTCCAATGAACCTACAAGGTCCCCTCTCACCTCCTTTCCTCTTCCCCCCTCCTTGCGTCGCTCTCTTTTCCGCCTGCCTCCCTGCCTGCCTCTCTGCGTTGTCCACATTCTCACTCTTCCGTCCTCCGATTTCTCCCCCCCTGCCTTTCTCGCACTGCCACTGCTGCCGTGCTTGTTATTACCTTACAGCGGCGGCAGCATCAGCATTGGAGGAGGAGGATGCGGAGGACAACATGGAAGCCGCCCTGCAAGGTATGTGTGCCTTGCATGCACTGTGCAGTGAGGGAGGAGAGGATGGAGGGGTTACACCACACCATTCCACCATACATCAGACACACACCAAACACCAACCGCTACACGTGTTCAACGAGGTGCTGTGTGCTTGTGTGTGCCTCACACCCAGTGCTCCAGTGATTTACGAGTGCCCAAGGCCTATTCCCTGCTTTTCATGCGCGCCCTTCACCCACCTCAAACCTGACGTCAAACCTGACGTCAAACCTGACGTCCAACCGGACCTCCAACCTGATGTCAAACCTGACGTCAAACCTGACGTCAAACCTGACGTCAAACCGGACCTCCAACCTGACGTCAAACCTGACCTCAAACCTGACGTCAACCTGTCGTCCAACCTGACGTCCAACCGGACCTCCAACCTGACCTCAAACCTGACCTCAAACCTGACATCAAACCTGACGTCAAACCTGACGTCAAACCTGACGTCAAACCTGACGTCAAACCTGACGTCAAACCTGACGTCAAACCTGGCGTCAAACCTGACCTGCAACCTGACCTGTGTGTGTTCGCAAGCCTTTGACTTAATCCATCATCACTGCATCCCATGTCTGTGTCCCCTGCGTGCAGCTCTTGAGCAGCGCATGGCAGCAGCAGCATCGCTAGCGCGCGCATCCCTGCCCGCCTCCCTGCCACTGCTCAACGACCTGCTCTCGCACCAGAAGGCACTGCTGCTCAAGGTGTGTGCAGGACACACACTGACACATGTGTGCAGCACACACACACACACGTGCCTTAAACACGTGCATGCTTCCATGCACGAAGGCACACGGACATTCGGAGCTAACATGTCTGAAAGCTCTTGCGTGGTCTGTGCGTGCGTGTGTGCACAGGCAGCAGACGCGGCAGCGGCAGCAGCAGGGGGCGGAGCAGGGGGGGCGGAGGGCGAGGTGGAGAGGGTGATGGAGCAGGTGCAGTGGACAGTGCGCATGGTGGGATACGTGCTTGCAGATGAAGGCACTGGGGAGACGCCTGAGGTACCTCTCCCATTTCCCATCTCCATCATCTCCCGTTCGGCTCTCGGATCTCCCATCTTCCCATGCATCATTCACCTGTGTGCATCACACAATTCTGAGCCTTCGTTCTGACCTTTTCTTCCCCTTCGCATTCCCCTGTGCAATCTCCCATGCAGCTACCTGTGTTCCTTGTGTACGAGCTCAACTCACACCACGCCCAGTCGTTGACAGCGCTCGCCACCTCCCTGCCCATGTCAGTATCACAACCGACCCTGCCATCACATCCATTCGCCCCCTCCTTCACCAGTGCCAGTATTGTGAACCTTCTCTCTGCTGTCTCGTGCCTTCCGTTTCATCCCTTCCATGTCGTTTTCTCCCTCTCAGCGAAATTATCTTGTGTTTTTCCTTGTGTCCCTGTTGTATCTTCCATCCTTTCAACCCTCAATCTGTACCCAACCACCCCACCCATGGTCACAGGAGCATACTGGAAGTGGCAACGCTAGTGCTCAACCCGTCTGCTGTTGCCACGGTGCTGAGCCCTCGACTCATGGAGGTGAGCAGAGCGGTGGGAAGGGGTGGAGAGGGGTGGAGGTTGGTGTGACGAGATAACAATGAGAATGTCTCCATTAACATCTTCTATGTCTCCGTCACGTGCCTAGAGCTCATGGCTTGAGTCGACTTAAAACGCCTAGAGCTCATGTCCCACATGATTCCACTTCTCCCATCAGTCCCCTCCCCATCCTCAATATTTTCCGTTTTCCTCTCTTTCCATATCTCTCCCCGCCTCTCATCCCCCCCCCTTCTCTATCCCCCCTGCCCACCACAGTCGCTCCTCTGGTTCTTCGCCCGCTGGTCGCTCACCTACCTCCTGCCACAGCCCCCCGACGCCAACCCCTCTCCCTTCGACTCTGACTCCGACCCACCACCTCTCTCCCCCGCCCCACCCGCTGCCTCTGCCTACTCCTCCCTCGCATCAGCGGCAGCAGGGGGCGCGCTAGAGCAGGCGTTTGGAGCGGGGGAGGGGCAGGGGGGTCTAGCGGTGCTGGAGGGGGTGCTGAGGGCGGGAGTGGTGGCGCTGAATGTGTGGCCTGGGGAGCCGGATGTGCAGCGCAGTGTGTGCCGCACGCTGCTGCTGGCCGTGACACGGCACCCGTACATGGCTGCTTTCCTCAGACACCTGGTGGGTGGACGGTGGAGGGTCATGGGTGGTGGCTAAGTGGGCTAAGTAAGTGGGGTCGCACGCTCAGCTGCGTTGCTCGCATGCTCTGCTGCGTTGCTAGCACGCTCAGCTGCGTTGCTAGCGCGCTCTGCTGCGTTGCTAGCGCGCTCTGCTGCGTTGCTAGCACGCTCTGCTGCGTTGCTAGCACGCTCAGCTGCGTTGCTAGCACGCTCTGCTGCGTTGCTAGCACGCTCAGCTGCGTTGCTAGCACGCTCTGCTGCGTCGCTAGCACGCTCTGCTGCGTCGCTAGCACGCTCAGCTGCGTTGCTAGCACGCTCTGCTGCGTTGCTAGCACGCTCAGCTGCGTTGCTAGCACGCTCAGCTGCGTTGCTAGCACGCTCTGCTGCGTCGCTAGCACGCTCAGCTGCGTCGCTAGCACGCTCTGCTGCGTCGCTAGCACGCTCTGCTGCGTTGCTAGCACGCTCTGCTGCGTTGCTAGCACGCTCTGCTGCGTTGCTAGCACGCTCACCTGCGTTGCTAGCACGCTCACCTGCGTTGCTAGCACGCTCACCTGCGTTGCTAGCACGCTCTGCTGCGTTGCTAGCACGCTCTGCTGCGTTGCTAGCACGCTCACCTGCGTTGCTAGCACGCTCACCTGCGTTGCTAGCACGCTCTGCTGCGTTGCTAGCACGCTCTGCTGCGTTGCTAGCACGTGCTGCTGCGTTGCTAGCACGCGCTGCTGCGTTGCTAGCACGCGCTGCTGCGTTGCTAGCACGCCCAGCTGCGTTGCTAGCACGCCCAGCTGCGTTGCTAGCACGCTCAGCTGCGTTGCTAGCACGCTCAGCTGCGTTGCTAGCACGCTCAGCTGCGTTGCTAGCACGCTCAGCTGCGTTGCTAGCACGCCCAGCTGCGTTGCTAGCACGCTCTGCTGCGTTGCTAGCACGCTCAGCTGCGTTGCTAGCACGCTCAGCTGCGTTGCTAGCACGCTCAGCTGCGTTGCTAGCACGCTCAGCTGCGTTGCTAGCACGCTCTGCTGCGTTGCTAGCACGCTTTGCTGTGTTGCTAGCACGCTCTGCTGCGTTGCTAGCACGCTCAGCTGCGTTGCTAGCACGCTCTGCTGCGTTGCTAGCACGCTCTGCTGCGTTGCTAGCACGCTCTGCTGCGTTGCTAGCACGCTCTGCTGCGTTGCTAGCACGCTCAGCTGCGTTGCTAGCACGCTCTGCTGCGTTGCTAGCACGCTCTGCTGCGTTGCTAGCACGCTCTGCTGCGTTGCTAGCACGCTCAGCTGCGTTGCTAGCACGCTCAGCTGCGTTGCTAGCACGCTCAGCTGCGTTGCTAGCACGCTCAGCTGCGTTGCTAGCACGCTCTGCTGCGTTGCTAGCACGCTCTGCTGCGTTGCTAGCACGCTCTGCTGCGTTGCTAGCACGCTCTGCTGCGTTGCTAGCACGCTCTGCTGCGTTGCTAGCACGCTCTGCTGCGTTGCTAGCACGCTCTGCTGCGTTGCTAGCACGCTCTGCTGCGTTGCTAGCACGCTCTGCTGCGTTGCTAGCACGCTCTGCTGCGTTGCTAGCACGCTCTGCTGCGTTGCTAGCACGCTCTGCTGCGTTGCTAGCACGCTCTGCTGCGTTGCTAGCACGCTCTGCTGCGTTGCTAGCACGCTCTGCTGCGTTGCTAGCACGCTCTGCTGCGTTGCTAGCACGCTCTGCTGCGTTGCTAGCACGCTCTGCTGCGTTGCTAGCACGCTCTGCTGCGTTGCTAGCACGCTCTGCTGCGTTGCTAGCACGCTCAGCTGCGTTGCTAGCACGCCCAGCTGCGTTGCTAGCACGCCCAGCTGCGTTGCTAGCACGCCCAGCTGCGTTGCTAGCACGCTCAGCTGCGTTGCTAGCACGCTCAGCTGCGTTGCTAGCACGCTCAGCTGCGTTGCTAGCACGCCCAGCTGCGTTGCTAGCACGCCCAGCTGCGTTGCTAGCACGCTCTGCTGCGTTGCTAGCACGCTCAGCTGCGTTGCTAGCACGCTCAGCTGCGTTGCTAGCACGCTCAGCTGCGTTGCTAGCACGCTCAGCTGCGTTGCTAGCACGCTCAGCTGCGTTGCTAGCACGCTCTGCTGCGTTGCTAGCACGCTCTGCTGCGTTGCTAGCACGCTCTGCTGCGTTGCTAGCACGCTCAGCTGCGTTGCTAGCACGCTCAGCTGCGTTGCTAGCACGCTCTGCTGCGTTGCTAGCACGCTCTGCTGCGTTGCTAGCACGCTCAGCTGCGTTGCTAGCACGCTCAGCTGCGTTGCTAGCACGCTCTGCTGCGTTGCTAGCACGCTCTGCTGCGTTGCTAGCACGCTCTGCTGCGTTGCTAGCACGCTCAGCTGCGTTGCTAGCACGCTCAGCTGCGTTGCTAGCACGCTCAGCTGCGTTGCTAGCACGCTCTGCTGCGTTGCTAGCACGCTCTGCTGCGTTGCTAGCACGCTCTGCTGCGTTGCTAGCACGCTCTGCTGCGTTGCTAGCACGCTCTGCTGCGTTGCTAGCACGCTCTGCTGCGTTGCTAGCACGCTCTGCTGCGTTGCTAGCACGCTCTGCTGCGTTGCTAGCACGCTCTGCTGCGTTGCTAGCACGCTCTGCTGCGTTGCTAGCACGCTCTGCTGCGTTGCTAGCACGCTCTGCTGCGTTGCTAGCACGCTCTGCTGCGTTGCTAGCACGCTCTGCTGCGTTGCTAGCACGCTCTGCTGCGTTGCTAGCACGCTCTGCTGCGTTGCTAGCACGCTCTGCTGCGTTGCTAGCACGCTCTGCTGCGTTGCTAGCACGCTCTGCTGCGTTGCTAGCACGCTCTGCTGCGTTGCTAGCACGCTCTGCTGCGTTGCTAGCACGCTCTGCTGCGTTGCTAGCACGCTCTGCTGCGTTGCTAGCACGCTCTGCTGCGTTGCTAGCACGCTCTGCTGCGTTGCTAGCACGCTCTGCTGCGTTGCTAGCACGCTCTGCTGCGTTGCTAGCACGCTCTGCTGCGTTGCTAGCACGCTCAGCTGCGTTGCTAGCACGCTCAGCTGCGTTGCTAGCACGCTCTGCTGCGTCGCTAGCACGCTCTGCTGCGTTGCTAGCACGCTCAGCTGCGTTGCTAGCACGCCCAGCTGCGTTGCTAGCACTCCCAGCTGCGTTGCTAGCACGCTCTGCTGCGTTGCTAGCACGCTCTGCTGCGTTGCTAGCACGCTCTGCTGCGTTGCTAGCACGCTCAGCTGCGTTGCTAGCACGCTCAGCTGCGTTGCTAGCACGCTCAGCTGCGTTGCTAGCACGCTCAGCTGCGTTGCTAGCACGCTCTGCTGCGTTGCTAGCACGCTCTGCTGCGTTGCTAGCACGCTCTGCTGCGTTGCTAGCACGCTCTGCTGCGTTGCTAGCACGCTCTGCTGCGTTGCTAGCACGCTCAGCTGCGTTGCTAGCACGCTCAGCTGCGTTGCTAGCACGCTCTGCTGCGTTGCTAGCACGCTCTGCTGCGTTGCTAGCACGCTCTGCTGCGTTGCTAGCACGCTCTGCTGCGTTGCTAGCACGCTCAGCTGCGTTGCTAGTGATAGAATTCAAGAATGGTTGAGTAATGAGCCAAGGAGGCTCTATAGTACAAGCATGCAAGGAAGAGAGGTTGGAAGAAGGTGCAACCCTATTGGCCACTAAGTTGGCCAATGGGTGAGTTGCCTTGTGGAGTAGGGAACCCCACAATGTTGCTAGCTTGTGATTGGTTGGCCTTAGGACCAAATGTTGGCAAGTGCCAACCAAGGACCAAGACCAAACCAAATCTTGACCCAACCACAAAGTGTGGTTGGAGTGTACACCCAACCCCCCAATGGCTTAAAGAGCTACACCTATTCTAGCCTATGTATGTTGTATATATAAGATACATTTACAACACAACCCCCCAACATGCATAAGGCTAGAAAAAATGTAATCAGGAGGCCGCCAAAACTGGTGGCGGGGTGAGCCCAAGGAGACGCAACAGGAAGGAGTGGGACGCTAGGGGAAGAGCTTTGGTGAAGATGTCGGCGAGGTTGGCTGCCGAGTCGATTTTGCCAAGACGAATGTGGCCGGCCTCAACGAGATCGCGAATGAAGAAGTAGCGAAGCTCAATATGTTTTGAGCGCCCATGATACACAGCGTCCTTGGTGAGGTGGATGGTGCTGGCGTTGTCACACCAGATGGTGGGACAGCGTTGGGGGGCTCCGAGCTCATCAAGGAGGAAGGTGAGCCAGCGTGCTTCTTGCGCGGCCATGGTCGCAGCATAGAGCTCTGCTTCGCAGGAGGAGAGGGCGACGGCAGAGGAGCGTGTGGACCGCCAGCTGATGAGACCGCTGCCGAGGGAGAAGCCATAGCCCTGAGAGGACCGCCGATCCGGTCGAGAATCAGCCCAGGAAGAGTCGCTGTAGCCGTTGAGGTGTGGTGGGGAAGGGCCGCCAAGAGTGAGGACATAGTCCTTGGTGCCACGAATGTAGCGAAGGACACGCTTGGCGGCCTGCCAGTGCTCTTCCGTGTGCTTGCCAGCGCCAACGAACCGAGCGAGGACGCTGATGGGGTAGGCAAGATCGGGGCGAGTGGAAACCATGGCGTACATGAGAGAGCCGATGAGTTCCGGATAAGGATGGGAGGAGGGAGAGGGAGAGGAGGGTGGGGAGAGGTGGTGCCCAACCGAGAGGGGAGTGGGCTGGGGGTTGCCGCGCGCCATGTCAAACCGGTCCAAGACCTGCTGGAGGTAGTGACCCTGAGAGAGTGAGATGGTGCGGGCGGAGCGGTCGCGAGTGATGGTCATGCCGAGGTAGTTCTGCAGCTCTCCCAGGTCTTTGCACTTGAGACGGCTGCCCAGCTCCGCCTTGACAGTCTCGAGCTCGGCAAGGTCTGCGGTAAGGAGGATCATGTCGTCAACATAGACGAGGATGTAGAAGGGGGAGGGAGAGGTGCGGAGGAAGAGGCTGGCGTCAGAGCGGGAGGTGCGAAAGCCAAGCTCAGCAAGGGTGGCAGCAAGCTTGGCATGCCACTCCCTGGGTGCCTGACGGAGCC